AGGGGTATGGCCCAGAGCTCTGATGGTTTCGATCTCGACTCTCCCACAGTCCTTGGGGTCAGTACACTTGCCTCTCTTACAGATAATGCACAGTCCATCCATGATCTGTAATGTCCCTCCATGTGTCACCTGATGGAGCTCTGAACTGCTATGGAAACAAGTGGGACCTAGTCGAGAATCTCTCATTGAATCCCAAACATTCTTTCATAGAAATCTCTTTGCTGTCTCTGTTGCTTCTCTTGCAGTTTATCCAGGGATCCTCTGAGCCTTAGCTGACCTAATTTTTAAATGCAGCTTGAGATTCCGTGAGCTGGGTTCCCACGATTTATGTTAACTTTGTTCTTTACTCAGGCCCCCAGCATGGCCAAAGCTTGAGTTAGAGTTCTCAAGGTGGCTGATCAGACCTGTGACTGATTGAACATATGCCTGAAAACTGTGCCATTATCTTCCCCATATGCATGCTGATGTTTTACCTTTTTTAAAATATAGGTAAAATGGTTCTGCAGAATTATAGATTTCTCAACAATTGATTATGATTTTATTTCCCCAGTTGATCACCCAGTTATTTATCAGGAAACAGAGTCTCCGTATAAGTGGACCTGTGCAGTTCAAACCCACGCTGTTCAAGGGTTAACTGGATTATCCTTTTTCTGGTAGTGAGGAGCCTGAGATTCTTGCCCTTCTCCACCCAAAACATTTAGCTTAGCCTACTTGAACATGAGGACAGGAAATGCGGAGTTCCTGAATCCCAAAGCCATGGGGAAGGAGTCTGTGTATCCATACTAAAGGACATGCTCTGCTTGATTATAGGCCTTATTCTGCTTTCAGTTAAAATGAAAAAAAAAAAAAAAAATCAGCCCTCGCTGGTGAAACTGAGTGGATTGAGCACTGGCCTGTGAACCAGAGGGTTGCCAGTTCAATTCCCAGGTAGGGCACATGCCTGGGTTGTGGGCCAGGTCTCCAGTAGGAGGCACACAAGAGGCAACCACACATTGATGCTTCTCTCCCTCTCTCCCTTCCCCTCTCTCTAAAAATAAATAATTATTTTTAAATAGAAAAAAAAAACCCCTCATGTTCCCTACTGCCCTCTTTATTCTTGTTTTTAAGGTGTAACAGAGAGTATTGAAGGCTCAGACCTGGCCCGCGTATAAACTGTAGGCATGATAAACTGTTGCTGGTGAAGGAGTGGGCACACAAAGTTTGGGCAGTTTGATGGGGCAGAATTGTTATAATGACAAAGACATGGAGAAGTGGGAGTGGTAACCCTGTCATGAGATGGAATTTGGGCGTGTTCATAGGGAGCTAGTCACACAGGACAGGAGTAACTGGTTATATTTGCCTTTAGAAAGTCACTGGCAGCCAAGCGTGGGGTGGCTGGAAGAGGAAAGGGAAACACAGAACAGGAGACGGACCAGCCAGGAGAGATTGCGCAGGAGTCCGTAGCTCTGAGGACGAGAATGTCATTTACATCTACTTAGAGAAGCTTGATTTCTCTTCAAAAATAAAGGAACTGTGACACTTTTCTATTTTTTTAAAGGAACAAATAATTATTTTCTTTTTTTTTTAAAGATTTTATTTATTTATCTTTAGAGGGGAAGGGAAGGAGAGAGGGAGAGAAACATCAATGTATGGTTGCCTTTCGTGTGTCCCCTGCTGGGAACTGGCCTGCAGGGAACCTGCCTGCAACCCGGGCATGTGCCCTGACTGGGAATCGAACCGCGATTGTTTGGTTCGCAGGCCCGTGCTCAATCCACTGAGCTACACCAGCCAGGGCAATTATTTTCTTATATCCAATTACTTCCCTAAATTATTTTGTAAAAGCTTGGCTTTTTTTTTTTTTTTTGAAGCAGGGCATATTTTATGGGTTTCAAAAGGAGAAAGATCTACATTTGTTGTTAGAGACTGAGCCAAATGCCGATTGATTGATTGATTGATTGATTGATTTTTAATTTCCTTTTTTTCCCTAAAGGAAATAGGGAAAAGAACTCCATTTCCTCTCCTCTTGACTACCTGGCGAAGGAAAGACAGTTTGCCTTCCTGGGTGGCGTCCCAGTAAACAGCCAGTAGCGAGCAGTAGCAGGGCTTTGCTCAGCCCTCTGAGTTCCATGTTCTCTGTTTCTACTGTATGTGCTCGCCCCTGTGCCGCACAGGATGCTGCAAACAAGGAGCCTGTCCTGGAGGAAACCAGGGGGGTGGGCAGTGTCATCAGATAAGTAATTACAGGAAAGAGTGAGCAGCTTTGTAAAAGCTAATGAGGGCAGAAGAAACAGTTCTGCCTGGACACACCCTGGAAATGCCCGCAAGAGTGAACTAGGTTTCGAAGGGCACGTACAAGTCCCTGGCAGGCGTCCTGAGTACCCTGACAAGAAGGCGTGGCATCCAAATGATGCCTGGGTAGTTTGCAGACCTGTCCCAGAGATCCTGACCACTGCTGATCCTGAAAGATAATCTCTCAGCACAGTCTCCCAAGTGGCCTGATGGAGCTCCACTTTAATAGGTTGTACCGCAGTGATCGCCATTTCCCTCGTTTAGATCCAGGTTCCTTTTCTCCTTCTTCTCCATCCTGATCTAAGATTAGAGATGCTACACACCAGCTTTTTAGAGGTGATTGCTCCTAGAATCCTGCTCAGTGAACATTCCATTTACTTACTGAACTCATTGCCCAATGTGCGGTCTCTACATATGAGACGTTATAGGCAAACATCATGGTTTTGCACCCATTTAGTTAGGGTTTGGGATGATAGGGACTGGGCAGGATTTGACTACTTATGCACTATGAACAAGGGGTTTGCCACATCAATTAGTATTCTGTTGAATAATATTTCAAGAAGAATACCTAATCTAATTATGGAGAAAAGGTGTGTGAGTTTTCTTTTTTCATACTTAAGCAGATTCAATGTTTTATATTCATTAAAGCAGTGCTATTTGGAATTTTTAATCATTAATTTATCTAAACAAGTAAGATTAAGACATAAATGCATTCTCATTTTTTAAAAAAGCAAGTAAGACAGAAGTAGCTCAAATAAAAAGTACATGTCCCCTTTTACCAACAGAATCTGGCTTTTTCCATGCACTTACATATAACATAACTTTGTGCACTTGGAAGACGGAATCAACTTAATCTGCAATTAGCTCTTGTATCTATGCTTTCCAGAGTTCCTTATGACAGTGCACATATTTCTTCATTGTTCTTTATAACAGCTGCATGGTGTTCCACATTATGCCTGTACTATGAATTGTTCATTTCCCCATTGGTAGCAATTTAGAGTTTTTGCCATCCTTGTTATTACAAACAGAGTAGCAGTCTTTGTTCAGATCTCTTTGTGTCCATGCATGAGTTTTTTCTAGTAGAAGAATTTTCTACCAGTAAGTTCTTGCTCTGCTGCTGGAGTCAGTGTTTATTCTTGGAGATACAGTATTTTTCTTTAGAAATATTCAGTTTTCTTGCAGATTCTGATGCCTCTTCTCTAAATAATTAGGCCTCTGGCATTTTCTCTGGAGCATTCCCTGTACCACTGTGTGGAGCCGTGTCAGCAGTGTTAGGAACTCTTGCCCAAAGCAGTGTCAGAATAGAGCCTTCGTAGCATAGAGATAGAAATGAGTTCTACTTCCTCCTTCCTATCCTGATAAAAGATTAGAGGTTGTACAGACTGGCTTGTCCAGTCATTTAAGCAGCTATCCTCAAGTAGTGGGTGGGATCCATGCAATTGGTGCCTCTCTTATTCAATAAAGGTCTGGAAACACTGCAGCCCCTTACTTATTTCATTATTTCCCCATTTCCTGTATCTTGTACCCTCTTCTCTCTCCTTTTTCCTCTCCGTAGGAATGGTAGCCTTTCTTCCCAAAGCTATTGCCCAAGTGAAAGCACGGAGAAACATGAGGCTTGTGTAGCCAATGGCCACTATTTGGTGCCCTTGACACCAGCAGGAAAGAAAAAGTGGTCCTCATACTCCTCTTGCAACCCTCAAACGGATATTTTTGGAATTTCTCTGTGAAGCCCCTCCATGAAGATGATCTCTCATATTTGAATGCTGATTTCTGTTTTCTTCTCAGGACCTAAGATGTCCTCATGCATGTTAAATTTATCTAATTGTAATACTTAGTAAAAACAAGAAACCATCTAAGTCACTCAGTTATCAGACCAGCAGGATATCCTGGAAAAACAAACCCCCCAAAACCCTCTGAATAAAAAAGCAGAGGGCCCAGACGTTCGGCAGTAGGGATGGGTAAAATATACTTCAGTACGTTCAGGTTATAAGATAGAATGAGGACGCTCTCTGTCTACCAACACAGAAATATCTTTAAGATATTACTGTGAGGTAGGGAGAAAAAAAGATACAAGTGTGTGGAATATGCAAATATTTCTGCAAGAAAAGGAAAAAGTAAGATGGAGTTTTGTATTTGCTGTCATTTGTATGAAGAAACTGAAGGATGCACAAGCAGCAAGTGAAAGTGTTTATTTCTGGGGGTGAGTGGGAGTGAGACTTCAGTGTACTTTTTATAGTGTTCTAGTTTTTGAATTATGACTATTATCTGTTAATAAAAATAATAATTTTTTTAAAAAGATGTGCACTGTTAAATAAGGGGTAGACCAAACCTGATCTTGTTTAAGCACATTAGGTATGTGATTTCATCCATCATGTTTGAGGTTTGGTCCCTGTTGGAATGGGGTCAATCTTGGCACCATGCATTTTGAGGAGGAAGGTGATGACCCTGTATTAGAACGTGTATGGCGATTTAAATTCTAACCACTGTGGTAGGACATCGGAAAGGCAAATCTGCACTCCTACTGTCTAGATTGTTCTTGACGTTCTTGGATTTGTTTTTTATTTTTTCCACAAAGTAACTGAAAGCCTTAAAACATCATGGCCATGATTTACAGTGGGAATCTCTTGCTGATTTCCTCTGTGAACAGAGTGGGAAAGTGAATTCACATGAAGCCTGTTTTTAAAGTTTGTGTCCTGGAGAAGGTGTTACAGTCTGTGCTTTTATTTTTACAGGAGCAGAAAAATTCAGATTCGAAACATCCCTCCTCACCTGCAGTGGGAAGTAAGCCAGTGTCACTTCTGTTTTTACTGTCTCCCTGCTTTCTTTACTTTTTAATATGTTAACAGGGCATTTTTCTCCATCTTTTAGTTGCCTTTCGTGTTTAGGAGTTAGAGGTCCCCAGACTTGTCCCGTGGTTTTCAGTGCCCTAATGTGTGCAAGTCTGTGGTTGCGTCTGTCCCCTTCATCACGCAGAAGGGGCACTTCGCTCCCTCGGGTTCTTTCTCCTCAGGCACAAACAGGCTGAAACACGGTATGCGCGCCTGCTTTGTGATTTTTCTCTCATGACTTTGTAAAAAGATTTTTACCTTTCCAGATTACGATTACTAAAAAAATAAAATCCATGGAAAACCAAGAAAAATAGGAAGTTCTTTTAGTTTGAGCAGGGGTTTTTTGTTTCTTTAGTTTGAGTTAATTGCTATGAATAACAGTTAAGATGTATTTTCTGAGTTGTGAAACTTGATATAAGATCGCTACCTTGAAATAAGACAGAATCTGAGGAGTGGCCTTATTGCATTATTTAAAAACAAACTGCCTGTTGTTTTTTTCTTCCCCAACCCAAACGAAATCAAAATAACCATAAAGAAAAGAGAATGTTCTAATATTTTCATTACTTTAAAAAAAGCTTTTTATTACTGAAAATGTCAAACATACACACCCCATCGGTTTGGTAAAATAAGGAGATGTCTAAGAGAAAACCAAAGGAAGATGGTAAAAGTTTTCAAGGAGAAGTGAGCCTTGTACTTTATTTTGCTTCTCATTTCAAGACCAGTAGACAGGTTCCAACCATCGTGATGAGTGTACTTGCAGTGAACAGATATTTTGGGAGTCAATAAGCAAATGAAAGTCCCACGTATTTATTCAGTTCTTACTGCTTTTGTGGAAGACCTGAAATGCCAATTTAATTATGTTTGCTGTAACTCACCTGCTCAGGGTAACCACGGTCCCATTTTTGCAAGTACAGTCTTGTTTTCCCACTCCTACACTGACACTCTCTTTGCAGGTATTGGATGGACTTTTGGCTCAGTACGGGACAGTGGAGAATGTCGAACAAGGTAATGAGTGAGGAAATCAGCTAACCAAATTTCGAGAGGAATGTTGTGTTACTTCTTATAGGCTGGGTCAACTCCTGGGAGAAATAGTAAGTTCAGAACCCTTTGAAACAAGCTTCTTAGAGTATATGTTCATATATCTGTGTGTGAGAGGTATGTGTATCTTTATCCATAGCTATATAATTTGTTTTTTCAAGGAATATATAGTAACTTTTCGGGCTATTTTTTAATATTCCATAATGTGCCCTGGCTGGTGTGGCTCAGCAGATTGAGCACTGGCCTGCAAACCAGAGGGTCGCAGGTTCAATTCCCAGTCAGGCCAGGTCCCCAGTAGGGGGCGCACAAGAGGCACCACACATTGCTGTTTCTCCCCCTCCCTTCTTCCCTCCCCTGCTCTCTAAAAATAAGTAAGTCAAATCTTTAAAAACATACTCCCTCACGTGCTCAAGCACTGGACACATACCGTTGGGCTGGGATACCATGGCCCACATGGAAGCAGTCAGATTTGCACTATTACAACTCTCTTTCCTGGCTAAGAAAAATACATCTCAACATATGTTGGAGTGAGTTTTTCTTAAGAAGTAGGACTCTTGTACCAGAATCTGCTAGAGTGCTTCTAAAACTACATATTCCTAGGGTTCACCATAGACCTACAAGGTAAGGCTTTCTGGGGCAACAGTTCGTGAATCTGTTTTAAATAAGTACTTCCAAGTGGTTTTTGTGTGCACTCAAGTTTGAGAGCCACTGTCTTGGGAATAATGTTATAAATGCCTAGAAAATATATAGGGGGACCCCTCAAAATGGAATTTATTTATAAAAAATTGTGTATTCTACATGTTTAAACTTCAGCCACCCACAAAATACTCTTTATTTGATGCAATACACCTATGGAGATGTTTTGTCCGCTGCTCAAAGCAGTTTTTGAACCCATTATTCTGTTGCCTTTTAGTGCTTCTGCTGTTTTTCTTTCACCTCTTTTACATCATAAAAATGTTTCCCTTTGAAGACTTTTTTTCATCCAGGGAAACAAAAAAAAAGTCACTTGGAGTGAGAGCTGGTGAATAGGAAGGGGGGGGGGCAGAGGGTTCATGCCATATTTGGTCAAAACTGCTGAACACTCAGTGTGGTATAGGCAGGTGTGCTCAGTATAAATCACCCATCATCAAATGGACAGATGTGTTAAAAGTCTAAAAAAAAATTCACTGAAGCCAAACACAGCCTGTCACCACAGCGCCAGCTGCTACACTGGCACAGATGGTTCCTGGAACACCCACCTAGCGGGGGAGGCCTGCACTGCAAGGGGGCCCGCCTTCCGGAATGCAGTTTCGATTTTTGGGGGGTTCATCTGCTCGTATTCGTCTGCTGCCCTTATTTTTACCTTCTATAACATGAAATGCCATGGTTTTAAAAAGAAAGCAAGGAGTGCCTGTTGCTCATGTATTATGTAGCTCTTTGAGTCCCAGAAAGGTAGATGCTGAGTTCCGATATGACAGGTAGTGGTAACGTGTATAAAGATTATGTTTGTGTTGTCCTAAAAAGCAGAATGTGAATTCAGTCACTTACTGTGAGCCCTTGGAAAAGTCACTTAACCTCGCTGACTCCGTTTCCACATGTGTAAAAGGGCAAGAATAAATCCCGCACATCCTGTATCACTGAACAGTTGGCACCCAGAGTGATCTGTGTGAGGTATTTGTAGACAGTGGAGCCATGCTTAACCTGAAGGGCTAAGGTTCCCTTAGGAAAAATCACAGAGAACCTTTCTCACACATGCAGCCTGTTTTTTCTGCCAGGATAATTAACACAATAGCTTTCACATAGTGATTATTGAGATGTTCTTCACGTCATGAATATTAAAAATATCATTATTCAGTTTGCTGCTGACTGCCTGTGCCCAAAGGTGAAGGGAAAGAACTCAGAGAAGACAGGATTTAGAAAGATTCTGTTTCTCAGTTCTCGTTACGTATTTCCCTCAGTATGGAGAAGAAAACATTCTGATCAGGATTGCATGTAGTAGGCAAGATGGCCTTACAGACATGAACCCATGAAAGTTCCTAGCTAAGACCATGTTATAAATTCAAGACAACGGCGTGTGAGGAAGAACTGTGTCGGGTCCCTGGGGGCTCCCAGAGTGTGTATGCCCACTATCCACCTGCCTCACCACCGCCCGATGGGAGTGTTGAGATGCTGTTTTGTTCTGTTTCATAGTTGATTCCTGATTCAGCAAGAACACATTTTCGGTAGTTTTCAGAAACTTTATAAAGCTTTTATGTCCATGAAATAAGTTATTTGAATGGAGCTCAGTTCTTTCAAGAGTCAAAGCACTGTCTGAGTCCCTGAAGACAAATATCTCAGAAGAACAGAGAGTATGACCAAGGAGTGAGAAAATCTGAGTCTGAGAGTCCTAAGTAGGTAGCTTTATGCAGGAAGTTCAGACCCAGCCCTTTCTCCCTTTTTGGGAGTCTGCAGCCTTATCTGTAGCACTAGAAAGCAGCAAAGAGGAAACCACTGTCGCAGTCTGTGTCAGTGCTGAGGGCCGACGGCTGCGGGCTACACATCCCCTGTTTTGCTCTGTGAGCGCTGCTCTGGGTGAGTGGGTGGGGGGAAGCTAGAGCCCACCCTGGGCAGTGACATATGAATGTAGAGGCAATTCTTTGTAAGGATTACATGTTCCTGCCCCACAGCGGCGTGGCAGCTGCTTTGAAGTTAATGGATATACACTATAACAGTGGTCTTTAACCTCTTGGAGAGTTTTATAGAAATTATAAACTAGAAAAATTCATATATCCACAAATTTGAATCTTTGGGTGGGGTGGGGTGAGGCGGGCTGGGGAGGGTCAGGTTATTCCTGAAGCTCTCTTGTAGATCCAAGATTAAGAATCCCTATACTGTAGGGTTTTACTATTACTTTGAGAAGTAGCTTTATTGTGGTTTTCTTGAATTATCCTTAACTTGATGCTGTTAATGCTAGGTCTCTCAATAGCTTACATGCTTTAAAGGAAAGATTTGATTTAATTGTGTCAGCTTGTTTGGGGAAAACTGAATTGGAGTGAGAACACTCTATCATGCCTCTTTTGAACTTATTTTTAACTTCTGACTTTGGGAGAAGAAGCAAGTCATTTTGAGCTAAGATAAGCCAACTCACAAGAGTGATTTCTTATTAGCCATTCTTTGCATTTGTGATCTCCCCTTTCTCCAAGTGAGTTGGGATTATCCGTTTTCTTTATTCATTGTACACACTTACTAGGTTTAACTCACACAGCCAAGGAGTTCAAAGAGAAACAAAAGTAGTAATTCAATCTTATCAATGAACAAAGAATTAAAGTTAAAATACTTTGTTATTGCACCCTGGCTGGTGTAGCTCAGTGGATTGAGCATGGGCCTGTGAAGCAAAGGGTCGCCAGTTTGATTCCCAGTCAGGGCACATGCCTGGATTGCAGGCCAGGTCCCCAGCAGGGGACATGTGAGAGGCAACCACATATTGATGTTTCTCTCCCACTCTTTCTCCTTCCCTTCCCCTCTCTCTAAATAAATAAGTAAATATTTTTTAAAAAATACTTTATTTCTATATATATCCACTTATTTAAAACTCAATACAGATCATAACAAAATTCGTACCATAATAGTGATACAATACAATACAATAAATTGATACAAACTTTTAGGAAAGTAATTTGGAAATATACAAGTATTGTGCTTTTTTACCCATTTATTTTTTCTTCTGTGTTCGGCCTAAAAAAAATAATTCAAAAGAACTCGAATCAATGTTTCCAACAAAGGTGGTTTCCAGCAATACTTTTTTAGAATAGCAGATACGGGGAAAGACCCATTTGTCAACATTCGAGGGATCGTTAGGCAAAAATCATGTTGCAGTTAGTTATTGCAATTTTACATATGCATTAAAAATAAAAAATACAAAGATAGTGTACACAGATGTGTGCCCATGCAAAAGTGTTTACAAAATAAGTGAAAATACAGCTTTGAGTTATGTATATAATTGATTACAAATGACTGTGAATGCATGCAAATAAAGATAGAGATCAATAGAACTCTAGAGTGGGGGCAATGAATTTTTTGTGCCTCTTTTCTCTAAACTAAGTCTGTCTGCATTGAGCCAGAGTGCTGCAGCTTTTCTTCCTGTGACAGTGCAATTTTTCCCTCTTTCCTAGTGAACACAGACACAGAAACTGCCGTTGTCAACGTCACATACTCCACAAGAGAAGAAGCAAAAACGTAAGTGGCTTTGGGCTTCCTTTTACATGTTGTGGAGGGTTGTCCTGGAATTCCGATGAGTCCCACACTTACAAACCTTTTCTGAAAAGGTGCGGCTCTTTGACGTGTCCCTGGAACTCCTGGGCATTTACACCAGGATGTCTGTCTGTTGATTGTGCAGAGACTTTATCCTGAAAAAATGTTGAGCCGTGGCCTCACAACCCAAGTGGGAGGTGTGTCTGGATGTAGTCAGGAGTGGAGAGCCCCAGCTGTGTGACACTGTGTCCCCTCGATAGACTGCTTTGCCAGCCACTGGGAGCTGCTTTACCCTGGAATTTCCTCTGTGCCCCAGTGTAAAGAGGCACAGCCTGCTTTTTATCCACACTAACTGAATGGATACTGAAACTTCAGTTTTTCCTCTATGTACTATAAAAAGAGGAACCCACCTCGGTGACAGCAGCAGCGGGGAGCAGTGTCTGGGGGTGGTTGTCAAGGAGCACCGCTTGGGCTCTTCTTCCTGCCCCCCTTCCCTTCTCATCCCCGTTCACAACTGCGGTGCTTCGGTGGTGGTTAACTTTGAGCTTGGCTCTTAACAGAGATGGGACTGAGGTTTTTCAAAAAGCTAGTTCCTTTTTCGAGGAGGTTCTTAAAGTGCCTGTCTGGTCATCGTCACTAGAATATAGTTACACGTGGTCATACTTTATAAACGTGGCACACCCCTGGTTTTATATCCCAGGATTATAGATTTATTTCTTTTTCAAGGTTTCAACACACATGAAGCCACTATTTAACCCGTTTTCATGCTGATACTTTTCAAAAAGTTAATTTTGCATTGAAAAAGGCAATAATACATTCACTACTGACGTTTGCTCACATACGTAAACAGAGACTGGACCAGTGACTTGCCTTCACAGTTCTTGTCCAGCTGCTACATGGGTAGGGCCTCTGTGCATTATTACTTTGTTGCTTTTATTGAAATCAAAAGGTGCTACTTTGTAATAAATTCACGGACCTAAACATTAACACTAACATTCATTTCACATGCTGCCCGGAACATGTGGGAAAAAAATATCCCACTTCATGTGTAATTTTAAAATGCAGTAGTGGGATATCATTTATTCCCTATCAAATTAGTACATATTTTTAGTTAATATTTGAGGACTCAAGGAAACCAGTGTTCTCTTAACTGCTATAGGGTAGTAAGTGTTGAAATCTTTTCAGAAGGACACGGGGTAACACTTAATGTGAGAAAATCCTGCGTACTCTCTGATCCAGCAACTCCATCGGGAATTTACCCTGTGTGCGAAGGTGTGGTCGCAAAGATGCCCGCGGCAACACTGAATGTAGTAGCAAAAGACTGACCGTTTTATGTGTGTGTGTGTGTGTGTGTGTGTGTGTGTGTGTGTATACACACATACATATATACACACATATAAATATATATATATATATATATATATATATATATATATATATATATAAAACAATGGAAAGTCATTTGGAAGACACATGGTAAATCAATAGAATGTTAAATAGCCAGTAAAAATTAAATTGGAGTATATTGAATGACTTAGTGTTCAGTATATTAACAATTTTTCAAAGGTTAGAAGAGGAACATGTGATATTAATTTATTTGTATAAGTAATTTATATTTAAGAACTATAAGAGATATAGCTGTTAGGACTTTCATTTGTAGTGATTTGCATCTCAATAACATCTATATTACAATAAAAATAAGAGTCATAATTTCGCACTGTAATATATTAAAGAGTCTTTGGTAAGCAGGAGATTGCCTTGGGTGGAGAGAAAAGCAGAATGCGTAACTGTGGGTCAGGTCTGACCAGGCCCACAGTAGATCATGGTGAACTGTTAGCGGGCAGTGACCACTGAGAGGGCAGAGGTAGCATCTGTCGTGCTCGGCGCTGCATCCGCAGCCGGGATTAGGGGTGTTCACACCAGCAGCCAGTGCAGGAGAGTAAACGGGCCAGTCCAGCGATCTGGAGGGTCTCCTCTGACATTCCTCCCTCATGAAGCTCGCTGTGCCTTCTGCATTTCAGAGCCATCGAGAAGCTCAGCGGGCATCAGTTTGAGAACTACTCCTTCAAGATTTCCTACATCCCGGATGAAGAGGTGAGCTCCCCTTCGCCCCCTCAGCGAGCCCAGCGTGGGGACCACTCTTCCAGGGAGCAAGGCCACGCCCCTGGGGGCTCTTCTCAGGCCAGACAGATTGATTTCCCGCTTCGGATCCTGGTCCCCACCCAGTTTGTTGGTGCCATCATCGGAAAGGAGGGCTTGACCATAAAGAACATCACTAAGCAGACCCAGTCCCGGTACGTGCCTCCGGGGCTTCCTTTGCTTCCTTCCGAGGGGTCTCCTGAGAGCTGGTGGGTCCCAGCCACCCTCCCGTGGCTATTGCTTGCATCAGCAGTGGGGGGCTGTGCTGTATGGGATGGTGGCTTCTTTACACAGAACTATTAACAGACTAACAGAAAGCTGGGGGCTTTAATGAGCTTTCTTGCCAGTTGCCTAAAGATTGTACCCCAAAACACTAAAGGTTCATAAAGAAGGTACTAATGACCTCGCCGCCAAGAATTATTCTTGTAAGCAAACTAATGCTTCTTATGAATGTATCTATTTCCAAAACAGAAGAAGTATGGAGCTTTGTAGGATCCTGGAATCCATTCATTTTAGCTCTTACCTCCTCTGCTGAGTCAGAGTGCTGGGTGGTAGTCATTCTTCACGGCCACCTAGGTAGACTCACAAATAGCTACATAAAGGAAGTGGGTGAATCACTGCTATATGTAGCAAGAAATAAAGTACATTTGCTTTATATTTAGTTTTCTGTCTGTTTAGGGAGACTGAACTGGTAGTTGGAATTATAGTGATGAAAAGGCCTTTTGGAGGAGTTGTTGATTTTTGTATGTTCATATGACCACACGTGATGTAACAAAGAAAGCACAGGACTTCAACACAAACACCCATGTTCAAGTTTGACCACTCAATGGCTTTATTATCTTGAATTTTTTCCTCTCTGACCATCGATTGCTTCTTCCATAAGCTAAGATCATTGTGAAAACTAGGATAGCCGGGTAGATTGAATGCAGTAATCGTGATGAAAGCACTTAAACTGCAAAGCGCCGAATAACTGTCAAGTATTAGTTGGTTACATGCCTAGTGCATTTCATTCGGGTCATGCATTGAGTGTCTTGTAATGTGAAAGAGAAAACACCACTTTCCTTAATGCGTCTGAGTCACTCCCCCAAAACAGAAGTGTACTTGAGCTGCAGAGTCCATAATCACAGGAATGGAATAGAGATGGGAGAGAGGGGGAAGTACTCTCTGGTGACCCTTGTATTTTAAAGTCAGCCCTTTTTTCCCCCTCTAAGTCTGCTTCACTAGGAAAGTGATTTTTATTTGTATGTCTTTTTGTTCCAAAAATTGTTTCAAGTGGCTTTAAAAGTGCAACAGGTTTCAATAGAAGTGAGGTTAGTTCTCCAAGTGTGTGCCCATTTTTTTCTAGAAGTTGGCCCAAGACTTGGATCTGCGCTTCTGGGCTTTGTCACAGTCAGAGTGAAGGGGGATACAATTAATTGTGTGATTTGGAAAGTTAACAAATCAAGTAGAGCCACAACTACCCCCAAGAAGTCTGATCAAGTCATCAAGCTTTTAAACCATTAGCTTTGAGAGCCTGGGAGAAGGCAGGTTGCCAGTAGTTAGGAAACCAAAACTCAGGCAGAGAGAGGGCATGCCTCTGTTTTCTATCTACACGCAAATCTATAAAGCTCACTTGAATTTGGTGTTTGGGTTTGGATTAACATATGGCTTTTAGAGACTGCAATCAGTTCAGAGAGTGGCACTGTGCCAGTGTGCAGAATTACCCTGCTTGCTTTATTCTCCACTTCTACGATCATTTGAAAGACGACACAAAATACTTCGTTACCAAGTTGGCTGGGTGCCTTTGTCCCACAGCACGCCTGTCCGAAATATTTCCTTCTAAATGGAACTGCAAAGAACTCGAGTTTGGCGCAAGACCCCCTGCACTGCTTGCCGCCTTCCTGGAGAATGGCGCTGGGTGCAAACGGGCTGACGATGCTCCCTTGTCTGGCTGGGTCCTCGCTGTGCGTTGGCTGGCGTGGCGCTGTCTCGGGACTGACTAGGATCCTATCCCAGATGACGCTGTGCTATGGCCCCTGATTCTTTCCCACAGGGTAGACATCCACAGGAAGGAAAACTCGGGGGCCGCAGAGAAGCCTGTCACCATTCATGCCACCCCAGAGGGGACCTCTGAAGCATGCCGCATGATTCTTGAAATCATGCAGAAAGAGGCTGACGAGACCAAACTGTAAGTTTGTGTGCAATGCCCAGACCGTCCCACAGAGAATAAGAGCAGGTGCTCATTCACGGAGCCGAGACATTTTTCACAAGCTCTAACTCTGTTACTAAGCAAAGGGAGGGGGGAAAGATTATTTTTAAGAAATTTTTTTCCAAAGACAATGCAGTGGGAAACAGATCTTGTGTATTTATGATATGGCTGTTTCTCCCATGTATTTTGCCTGGTGATCCTAATGCTTTCCTCACTCACTGGTAATGCTGGTAGGGATACCAGTGTCCTGCAGTGATGGAAATGCTCTGTGTCTGCACCGTTCAGTACAGTAGCCACTTGCCACGTGGTGGTATTGAGTGCTTGAAACGTGGCTAGTGCAGCACTATTCTTTTTAACTTACTCAAATTTGAACAGCCCCCTGTATGGCTAATGCATTAGGTGGTAGTGCAGGTGTAGAAGGTACATTATCATCAAAACCATCATTTACCATTCTGGGAAAGGCTTTTGTCACTTGCTCCTTAAACCACTTATACCCTTTAAAAACTGGGTTACATTTCCATTACTAGTAGGAACTAGTATCCAAGTGGCTACTTAATTCTTCTTCCTCTTTTTCCCCCCTTTCATGTCATTCATTCACTTTCTTTTCTTTTACAAAATACTTCTTAGGATTCCTGAGTGTTGTACCAATTTGAAGAGTAAATATAGTTCTTACAAAAGCAATTTTCTTCATATTACAAATGAATTAATGGTAATGGAATAGATAATATAATAAAAAAGGCTCCATGTCAGATCAGCAGAATCCACTTACGGGCATTGGTGACAGCTTTGTAGAGAAGCACTGAGGGTAAAGTGAATATGAAATTAATTCAGAAATAATGTCAAATAAGAGTGCTCCGAAACCACAAACATGGAAGTAGTCCTAAAAAGAAAAACACTACAAAGCTATTCTCAGGTTTCTAACCTTTCACTTAGGAATTATTTACTCTATTTCAGGCTTTTGAAACTCACCCAAATTCCATGGCTTAACTTGAAGAAGCCCCTCCCTCATCCAAGTTTTGCAGACTTTACAAATAACACGCTCTTTGGCCCTTCAACCTGGGTACACGCAACTTTCAATATTCTAAATAATCAAAAAGACTGGTTTCTAAATTGGATTTTTAAGTTTTCGTGTAAAGCCAAGATGGAGTGTGAATGTCGTGGAAATGCGTGTGTCGTGTGTCCTGTGTGCCCGGCGCTGTGTGGGGGTCGGGGCTGCGGTCGTGCCTGAGACTCAGTTCCTGCTTTCACGGAGCTCGCAGTCCGCTGGGAGCGGCGTCCACTGAGCAGCCCACCAGTGTGCAGTGAAACGGCCACGAGGCGTGCCGACAGCGGGAATGACTGCTCGTTACTGGGGGCCCTAATCAAGGTTTTAGGGGGCGTGGCAGGAAGTTTGGGGGTTTCAGGGAAGGCTTCCTGTGTAGGTGACATGTACTCGGAGCCCTGGGGGTAGTGGGTAACAGGTGGAGGATGTAGGGGAAGAGGGATCCTAAACTTTCTTTTTATTTGTTTATCAAATATTACTATGTGCCAGGCACTGTTCTATGAGCCATTCAACAAAGCTGACCCCCCCCAAAAAGCAAACCACCTGCCCTCCCAAAATTACATCCCTTTATTTTAAGGCAATATAATGCATCTTTTAGATTCTTTTGATTTCAGTAACAAAACATAAGTGGCTTAAGCAGTAAGAAACCATTCCATGCCACGTAATAAGAAGTCCTAATAAGGTAGAGCAACTCCAAGGTCAGTTGAATCGTGGACTCAAAGCCCGTGACTTCTCCTTGTTCTACCTTCTTCGGGGTGTCTGATCCTTTCCTGGCCCTGACAGGATGGCTGTAGTGGTTTCAGACCTTGTGTCCCCACAGAATAATATTCAGAAGTTAACAGACAAAGCTGCTTTTTCCTATTCTTTCTTTTTTTTTTATGGTGGTAAAATCACATAACGTGCAAGTTACCATCTTAACCATTTTTAAGTGTATAGTTCAGTAGAGTTGAGTATGTTCACATTGTTGTGAATCAGGTCTCCAGAATGTTCTCATCTTGCAAAACTGAAACTCTGTGGCCATTAAACAACAACTCCCGTTTTCCACTCCCTCCATTCCCTCCCTGGTAGCCACCATTCTGCTTTCTGTTCCTATGAATTTGACTGCTGTAGAGAACTCAGATAAGTGGAATCGAACAATATTTAATATTTGTCTTTTTGTGACTGGCTGTTTTCACTCTACATGATATCCTCAGGATTCATCCATGTTGTAGCATGTGACAGGATTTCCTTCCTTTTTAAAAGGCTGCATAATGTTTCATGGTAGGCATATGCCACGTTTTGTTTGTTCATTCATCCATTGGTAATTTGGGTCGCTTTCTCCTCTCAGCCGTCGTGAAGTGCTGTTACTACCGTGGGTGTGAAGATCTCTTTGAGACCTTGCTCCCAGTTCTTTTGGATAAATACCCAGAAGGGAATTGCTGGGTCATATGCTGGGTCGATTTTAATTTTTTCGTGAAGCCTCCATACAATTTTCCATAGCAGTTGTACCATCTTACAGTCCTACCAACAGTGCACAAGGGTTTTGATTTCTCCACATTCTCACCAACAAAAAAAACTTATTTTCTGTTATTTTGATAGTAGCCATACTAATGGGAATGAGGTAGTATTTTGTATTCACAATACCTCATTGTGGTTTAAGATTTTATTTATTTATTTTAGAGAGGGGAAGGGAAAGAAAAAGAGAGGGAGAGAAACATCAGTGTGTGGTTGCCTCTCATGTGTCCCCTACTGGGGACCTGGCCTGCAACCCTGCCATGTACTCTGACTGGGAATTGAACTGGTGACCCTTTGCTTCACAGGCTGGTACTTGATCCACTGAGCCACACCAGCCAGGGCAGTCTGCATTTCTTTTACGTGATGGTGATGTTGAGCATCCTTTTTATACTTTTTGGCATTTGCAGATCATTTTTGAAGAAACATCTGTCGAGTCCTTTGTACATATTTCAAACAGATTATTTGGTTATTTTATTGTTGAGTTGTAGAAGTTCTTTACATATTCTGGATATTAGTCCCCTATCAGATATATGACTTGCCAGTATTTTCTTTCATTCCATAGACTATCTTTTCACTATTGTTTCTATTCTTTTTTAAAAATATTTTATTTATTTTTAGAGAGAGAGGAAGGGAAGGAGAAAGAGTGGGAGAGAAACATCAGTGTGTGGTTGCCTCTCATGTGTCCCCTACTGGGGACCTGGTCTGTAACCCAGGCATGTGCCCTGACTTGGAATTGAACTGGTGACCTTTTGCTTCACAGGCCTGTGCTCAATCCACTGAGCTACACCAGCTAGGGCTTGTTTCTATTCTTTGATGCAGAAAAGTTTTTAAGTTTGATATAGTCCTATTTGTTTATTTTTTATTTTTATTGATCATACCCTGGTATCATACCCAAGCAATTACTGCAGGTCCTGGTCAAGTATCTCAGTTGGTTAGAGCCCCATCCGGATTCGCCAAGGTGCGGGTTCTGTCTCTGGTCAGGACACATGTAAGAATCAACCATTGAGGCCTTGGTTGGGTAGCTTAGTTGGTTAAAGCATTGTCCCAAACTCCAAGGTTGTGGGTTTGATCTTTCTCTCTCTCAAAGTCAATGAAGAATTTTTTTTTAAAAAGAAACCATTACAAAGTCCAGTGTCATGAAACTTTCCCCATGTGTTTTCTCTAGGAATATTGTAGTTTTCAGTTTTATTTTTAGGTCTTTAAAACGTTTTGAGTTAATTTTTATATATGGAGTAAGATAAGTCCAGCCTCATTTTTTTTTTTTTGCTTATGTGTATCCAGTTTTCCCAACACTATTTGTTGAAGAAACTGTCTTTTCCCCATTGTGTTGCCTTGTCACACGTGGCAAAGATCATGTGACCATACATGTGAGGGTTTATTTCTAGGATCTCTATTCCATTGGTTTGTCTGTCTTGATGCTAGCACCTCACTGTTTTGATTACTGTAGCTTTGTAATATGTTTTGAAACGAGTTCTCCAACATTGTTCTTTATTCAAAATTGTTTCGACTATTGAAGTTCCCTTGAAATTCCATACAAATTTTAGAATGAATTTTTCTACTTCTGCAAAAAGTTGCCACTGGGATTTTGATAGGGATTGCATTGTATCTGTACATCACTTTAGGTAGGGTGGACATTGAAACAGCATTAAGTCTTCCAGTCCATGAATGTAGGATATCTTTCCATTGTTTTGTCTTTTATTTCTTCCAGCAGTGTTTTGTAGTTTCAGTTTATAAGTCTTTTACTTGGTTAGGTTTATTCCTAAATATTTTTTTTCTTTATGATGCTATTGTAAATGAAATTATTTGTTTAATTTGTCCTTCAGATTGTTCATTTTTAGTGAATAGAAACACAGTATCCCACGACATTGTTGAATTAGTGTATTCTAACAACTTTTTGTGGGATCTTTAGGATTTTTAACATAGAAGATCATGTCATCTATGAATAGAGATAATTTTACTTCTTCCTTTCTGATTTAGACACTTTTATTTCTTTTCCTTAACTTATTACTCTGGCTGGGACATCCACTACTATGTTGAATAGAAGTGGTGAGAGCAGGAGCCCTCGGTTTGTTCCTGATCTTAGAAGAAAAGCTGTCAGTCTTTCACCATTGAGTACGAAGTTCGTTGTGGAGTTTTCACAAGGATATTTATTATGTTGAGGTAGTTTTATTCTCTTCCTAGATTGTTGAGTGATTTTAACATGAAAAGGTGTTAAACTTTGTCAAATGCTTTTTTTCTATCAATTGAGGTGATCATGTGGGTTTTGTTTCTCATTTTGTTAATGTGGTGTATCACATTGATTGGTTTTTTATGTATTGAGCTACCCTGGCCTTCCAGGAGTACATCCCACTTGGTCATAGTGTGTAAACCTTCTTACATGCTTTCAGGTTCAATTCGATGGTCATTCTTCAAGTATTTTTGCATCAGCATTCTCATTAGGAATATTGGTCAGTCATTTTTTGTTTGTTTTGTTTTTGTTGAGATGTCTTGTTTGGCTTTAGTATTAGAGTAAAGCTGGCCTCATAGAAGGAGCTTGGAAGTGTTTATTTCTTTTCAGTCTTTCGGAAGAGGTGGAGAAGGATTGATTTTAGTCATCTGACCCGGGCATTTCCGCGTTGGAAGGTTTTTGATTATTTACTCAATTTCCTTACTCATCATTTGTTCAGATTTTTCTGTTCATATTTTGATCTTGGTAGTTTCTGTGTTTCCAGGAATGTATTTATTTCTTCTGGGCGGTACAATTTGTTGGCGCGTTAACCGTTCAGAGTCTTCTCTTATCATCAATCACTGCTTGTTTCCGTGGCATCAGCTGGGATGGCCTCTCTTATTTTTCACTTTCTATGAGTGTTTTCTCTCTCTTTTTCCTTAGTTCACCTAGCTGAATTGTTGATTTTGTTTACCTTTTCAGAAAACCAAACTCTTGGTTTTATTGACTTTTTCTTTCGTTTCTCTATTTTCTGTTTTGCTCATTTCTGTTCTGATCTCTATTATTGCTTTCTTCATGTTAGTTTGGGTTTTGTTTATTCTTTTTCTAATCTCTTGAGCTATAAAATTATTGATCTGAGATTTTATTTCATTTAGCTTTTTAATCATTCAGCTGTGTTTTGATTGGGGAGTTTAATCCCTTAGCATTAAAGTGAACACTAATGGGGGAGACTGAGAATTGCCACTTTGTTCACTCGTGTTTCTGTGTCTTGCAGTTTTATTGTCCCTCCTTTCCTTCCTTACGGCCGCCCTTCGTGTGTTCGTTTCTGGGTGTTTTCTCTTCTTTTTTAGTGATATGCTTTGATTCCTTTTTATTTCCTTTTGTGTGTATTCTGTAAGGGTGCGTATGTGTGTATGTATGTGTATATATCACTGCAGTTATATAAGACATCTTAAAATTATAACATTCTATTTTAAACTGGTAACAACTTAACTTCATTTATATTAGGAACTCTACTCCTTTACAGTGCCACTCTCTACTTTTTTAAATTGAATATTAGGGTGGCAATGGTTAATAAAATTATGTAGGTGTATAATTCAATAATACATCATTTGTATATTATATTATGAATTCACTACCCCAGGTCAGGTCTCCTTCCATCACCATTTATCCATTCCCCTTATACCTTCTTCTACCTGTACTTCATTATTGATGTCACGATTTAATTTTTGATAGTGTATACCCATTCACATATTTACATTTTTGGTTTTTGCCATTTAAATTTTATGCATCAAAGTTACTATAGTGCAGGTTACTGTATTTGTGTATTTTTATTAGAGAATCTTATATTTTCATATGACTTTGCGTTGCTGTGTACTGTCCTTTCATTTTAATTTAAAGGATGCCCTGTACCATTTCTTGTGGAGCTGTTCAAATAGTAATAAACTCCCTCAGCTTTTGTTTATCTGAGAAAATCTTAATTTCTCCTTCATTTTCGAAGGACAATTTGCCAGATACACTATTCCTGGTTGACAGTTTTTTCTTTTAGCAGTTTGAATATATCATCCCACTCTCTTCTGGCCTGCAAAGTTTCTGCTGAGAAATCCACCGATAATATGGAAACTCCTGGGTATGTTACTAATCACTTTTATCTTGCTGCTATCAAGATTGTTTTTGTGCCCCGGCTGGTGTGGCTCGGTGGATTGGGCACCAGCCTGGAAACCAGAAGGTCACCAGTTTAATTCCCAGTTGGGGCACACACCTGGGTTGTGGGCCGGTCCCCAGCTGGGGGCGTGTGAGAGGCATCTGATTGATGTTTCTTTCACACATTGATGTTTCTCTCCCTCTCCCTCCCTTCCCCTCTAAAAATAAATTTTTTAAAAAGTTTTTTTTAAAGGATGGTCCTTTGTTTTTGACTTCACGCGCTGGGGGTATAATGTACCTCAGTGTGGTTCTCTTTGGATTTATGCTAGTTGGAAGTTTTTGAGCTTCTTAAATCTGTATGTCTCTTTCTTTCCTTAGATTTGGAAAGTTTTCTGTCATTATTTTTTCAGATAAGCTCTTCACTCCATTCTCTTCTCCTTGTGGATTCCTGTGATATGTATACTGATCCACTTTATAGTATCTCCTAAGTCTCTTAGCCCCTCTTTGCTTTTCTGCACCTTTTTTCTCCTCTGACTTGATGATTTCAAATGACAAGTCTTCCAAATTTGTGGATATTTTATTTTGCCTGTTAATATCTGCTGTTGAACCTTTTAAATGAACATTTTAGTTCAGTTATTGTAATCTTTAGCTTTATTATTTGTTCGGTTGGTTTCTATAGTTTCTGTCTCATTGGTTCTCATTTTGTTCACATCATTTTTCTGATTTCATTTAGTTTGTATTCTCTTTTAGGTCATTGAGTTATTTTACCCTCTTCGTCAGGTAGTTCATAGGTCTGCATTTCTTTAGGGTCAGTTTCTGGGGCTTTATTTTGATTCTTTGAATAGTCCATGTTTCCCTGTTTCTTTTTATTCTTTGTAATTTTTTCACTTGGATTTAGACATATAAAAAAACAACAACCCTTCAGTCTTTGCATACTGGCTTCATTCAGGGGAAGACCTTCTCTATAATCAGCTGGGCAGCAGGTTCTAGATCTCTGAAACCTTCTTTGATCTCTTTCTCCCCCTGACTTCTGACTGTGTAACTGCAGCCCTAACATACTCTACCTCTGTTTTCAGCACCTTCCAAACTCAGAGCCAGTCTCGTCAGCACTCCACTTCAGGAGAAAGAGAAACCAATCTCTTGGGCAGCCCCCAGACAAGCCAGAGTGCTGGGCTCATGTCCAGTCTTTTTGTTTTCAATGGAAGAGCCCTGGTAGGAAGAATTGCTTCTCAGTTGCTCTTTGATATGCTATGTAGCGGAAGGAGCATGAACAGGCTCCCCAACTACCACAATTTTCCTTCCCCCTTCTCTGGAATCCCTTCTTGGTTTTATAACAGCCTGGGCACTATAGCATCTCAGCTGCTCCCTAGGGTTCTCACAGAAGTATTTCGATTTGTCTGTTGTTATTAACTTGGTGTCTCTGTGAGGGTAGGAGGACCCAAAGCTTCCTAGTCGGCCATCTGAGTAATGTCATCAACCTTTGTTCCTTTTTAAGAGCAAAGAAATCCTTCCTAAAGTCACCCAGCAGAGTTCTACTTATACCTCAATGGCCATATCTACCTCATGGACTTATTCCCAACCAATCACAGCGAGGGAGTATAATTATAATGACTTGGCTTGTGTTAATGAGAAGCCATGCACTGGGGTTAGTAAGGAGGTCCTCCTCTGAAGCCCATCACCACTTGGTACCTTAACAAAACAGCTTCTATTTGTGAGAACTGAAAAAGAAAACCAGGGTAATAGCTTTTGGGCAGCAACTGCTGTGCCCACCTTAAATGTTAAATTGTTGATTGTCTCTTTTAGAGCTGAAGAAATTCCTCTGAAAATCTTGGCCCACAATGGCTTGGTTGGAAGACTTATTGGAAAAGAAGGCAGAAATTTGAAGAAAATCGAACATGAGACTGGGACCAAGATAACGATCTCATCGTAAGCCACTCATTCAGATTCATTGTGCCCTGTGAGGGAGACTTTCGGCATTTTCATCTGCTTTTCTATAAAATGGGACTGTAATTATAAGTGATATAACCGTCTCCATAAAAACAAATACATAAATAGCTGTGAACATATTTTGCTACAGATAGGATCTAGGTCACTGCAAAGACTTGAGGTAAAATAGCAGGGATCCCGTACCACAGAATCTGATAAGGAAAGCCAGTCTTCTCCCCACCTGCGCCACCGACTTGTTTGTGATCCTCCGGGGTTTATTTTTCCTTTTGAAAATGGGAAGTTTCTCTATCTCTCCCGGTGGCCAGCCTGCAGGACTTGAGCATTTACAACCCCGAGAGAACCATCACTGTGAAGGGCCCGGTCGCAGCCTGTGCCCACGCGGAGACTGAGATCATGAAGAAGCTCCGCGAGGCCTTTGAAAACGACATGCTGGCTGTTCATGTAAGTGCCTGATGCCTCCTTCCGCTGGTTTTCACACGCGTTTTCAGGGAGGACACGATCCTCACTGAGAACAACTGTCGTTCGGACAGTGAAGAAACACCTTAAAATAGGTGGGCAGTTCTTCCTGCCTTCTCGGGGCAAGGGCATTACAATAATCAGGAGACCCACTAGTAAAATGCACTAGACAAAATAGTGTGAAACCATCAAAGTCATAACTTTGAAGATTTTAAAATGAGGAATTGCCTACGATATAATGTCAGTTAGAAAAGAATATATAAAAGAGTGTAACTAGGGTTATAGTTATATGAAGGAATATGGATCAAAATGACTGGGAGACCACCTAGAAAAATAAAAATAGCTAGTATGTTAGGAAAGTGGGATTTTTTTTTTTCACTTTCCAACTTTAAAATTAACATCTGGTTTTTATCTCCTGCTTACTCATCTGCTCTTTTAGGTGACCCAGTAAATCAGGGGTATCAGACTCATTTTCACCGGGGGCCACATCAGCCTTGTGGTTGCCTTCAAAGGGCCGAATGTAATTGTAGGACTGTGTAACTGTAATGACTCCTTAACAGTTAAGCGAGAGCTCGGCCCTGCTGCTGGGTAGAAACAAGGTGCCGGGCCGGATAAAACAAGGCGGAGGGCTGGATTCGGCCATGGGCCTTGTGTTTGCCACCACCTCAGCCCTAATACTCCTGACAGACTGGTTGCGGTTTCCTCTTCCTGTTACTGCTGTCCAGTTCCCACATGATAATAGGGAGACACCAGACTGGCATCAGAAGTCTTAAAAGTACTTGTCTGTTGGCAAGGCTCCATTCAATAAGTTTTTTTATTTTCTATGATAATGACTCTCTAACATATACTGAAGAGAAAACGATGCTGTGATAAGCCCTCACACTTCCATAATACAGCTTTGACAATTACCAGCTCCTGGCCTATTTTGTTGCATCTTGAACCGCCATCCACTTCTCTGCTCCCTGCGGAGGTCCTGCAGCAAATCCCAAACCCGGTGCCATTTCACAGAGGAGTAGGTGCTGACGAAGAGCTGTGTGGGCTAAACCTCGTCCCCTCCCTGCAGCCCTTCCCACAGTACCTGTTCCCTTCCTCAGGTCAGTGCTGTGTCCCCTGCCCTAGCAGCCCACATCACGTGGCACTCCAGAGACAGGATGGGGAGAGGACCCCAGCGTGACCTGTGTCCCCCATCCGTGTGTGTCTGTGCAAGTATCATCCAGTGATCTCATCATCATCTTTTGGCATTTGACGTCTTACAATAAACATCTCTTTCTTCAAAAGGGTCTGGTTGCTCCCATCATCATCCTCTGAGCCTGTCACTGAGATTCATTCGTCTGTCCCAAAGTCACACGTTGATAGGTGAATGACAAAAACTACTAGATTTTATATAATATATCAAATTGTGTAAAGGTTAAGGATCCAGGCTCTACTATATCAAACATTCTAAAAGAAGCAAGTTACTAGGTGACCCTAGCCACGGATTAAAAAAAATAGAAGAGGTTTGGGGAGACAGAGGGCAGGCAAGATTGGACACAGGCCAGAGTGGGTGACCACACCTCTCTGCCTTTGAAGGACTGTGTCGTCAGACCCCAGTGCCATCGCTTGTGCGGCCATTGCTAAAGCGCCAGTGGCCAAGATGAAGTTTAGTCCCTTCTGACTTCTGCCCAGAGCAAGAACCTCAGAAAGCATTTCGGAGCATCTTCCCGCATTCACAGGAAGATCATGTCTTCTCTTTCCAGAGAGCTGGGGCAGAAGTACGATGTTCAGCCCAGGCTCATCCAAAAGGATGACGAGGTTCAGGCTGTACAAGGACTTTACAAAGGGCAGTAAATTGGCAGAGTAGTCCAGTTCACAGAAAGAAGTCTGCCATCCACATTGAACGAGCACAGCGGGAGAGAGCCAGCAGGACAGCTGTTAGTGCGGGCACTCGCCCTGGCAAGGCAGTCTTCCCTCGACCGAAAGATCCTGGAATGTGAAACCAAATCTTGCCATGTGGGAAAGGAAAAGGGCAAATACAAGGAAGAAAAACCTAGAAGGTGCAGGAATAAAGTAACCTTTACACAACTTTCATGAGAAAAACTTAAAATGGGGGACCACCTAGCCTCTAGCCTATGTGAGATCCTCATGTTTAAATGTGAAACACATAGCCAGATGATCACGAAGCTGGCAGCTAAATGGTGCACAAGCCAGAGTTGTGAACCGGCCTGAATCTGGACGATGGAGGCTACATGTGTGCTGTCCTGATGAAGGGCCTGCTCTTTCCCCGGACAGAGTTAGGGAAAGACTAGTGGTCCAGCATGTTTAAAGCCTTCCAGTTCCACAAATACTTACTGAGCGCTTGCTCCATCCCAGCACTGAGCACAGCACTGAGCACCAAGTCAGGCAGTCTCTCTGTTCACGGGGAGTTGTGGTCTGCAGGGGGCGGGCACTCTTTTAGAGAAACACCGGAATGTTAGGAGAGCACAGAAAGGGCACTTGAGCCAAAACCTTTGGGGTGAGAGAAGGCTTCCTAGGTATGAAGACACATAAGCTCAGGTGAAGTGAGAGGAGAGACAAGCTTATTCCTCACAGGGCCGACAAAAGGTGTACTGCCCAAAGGTGAGAGAGGACCAGGACAGGGCAGGTTGGGGGGGAGGGGTTAGCAGGAGAGAGGCTGGGGAGTGGCCTGGGTCGCCAGGAAGAGCCTTGTTTGCTGTTAAGATGTGTAGGTACTCTCAAAAATGGCAGAGGAACTTCGAAGGAGCAGTGTGGTCAAGTTGAGGTTTGGGGAGCCCTCCCCAGCAGCAGGGTGGGGAAGGAGTCCTCAGGGCCAGGGCGGAGCTCATCAGGAGTCACTGGTGCCATCCAGACCGGAGGTGGAGGTTGACCCAGGCCAGCTGGGGCTCCGGTCTCCTCCCCTCATCTCTGTCTCCATTTCTGTTCCCAGCAACAAGCCAATCTGATCCCGGGGTTGAACCTCAGCGCACTTGGCATCTTTTCAACAGGACTGTCCGTGCTGCCTCCACCAGCAGGGCCCCGAGGAGCTCCCCCCGCTCCCCCCTACCACCCCTTCGCTGTAAGTAGCTCAGCATTCAGGGGCTTGCTCTGCTCTGGGCACCTTCAGGCAGCAGCATGGCTCTGCTGGGTCGAATCTGAGCTAGAGCTTAAACTTGGAGGCCATGCTCATAGTGACTGTAGGGAGAATCCAATGCTTCTTAGGACTCCTTCCTCTTAGAGCGGTTAATATTAGCTAACCTCCTCTAAATAGGTGCCCTTAAATGTACCATGTGTCTTATCTAGGAAGGAAACAAACCACTAGCAAATTCACTAATGATAAACCTATTTATTGTCCAAAAGGATTTGTTAGCTCAAATAAAATCTTCATGAGTGTTGTTCATTTATTAAAATATTAGGATGTCTCTTTCCCACCTATGTCTACAATGTAGATGCAATATTATATACTTTATTATACGATATTATATTTGAATAATGGGCAGTTTTTAAAAGAAAATAATCTACAGTGTTTGTTTCAAAATACTTAGCATAATGCCTGGTATTTAGTTCTCAATAACCATTTATTGCTGAATTACAATTAATAACAAATGTGAATTTTACGAGTTTTCTACTTGTTGCTCCCATTCATAAGACAAGTTGGGGTTCAAGGTACTCAACAGCTTTTTTAATTCCAAATTCTCCATACATACCGTTTATTTTTGAAGCAAAACTTTCTTTCCCCTGATGTTTATATTGTTTAAATGGGAAGAACCAGGGTGGTGAACATGACCCCGGCCACCCCTTTCTTTTGAATTGGGGGTCTCTGGCACAGGCCTTGCAGAGAGAGGGTTCCTAGGAGCATCTGTAGAGAGAGGGCGGACCCTCGGCTCCTCCACCACCAAAATGCCGGCCTGAATTGGCACCATGTCCTCAGTCGCGTGAACTCGGGCATTTCTGCAGTCTCGTTTCTATGCAGGTCTTCTGAGTCGTTTCTGAATCTTCATGTCATTTATTTAGAGTGATACCCATTTTCCCCTAAACTAAGGATAGGGCCCAGTATTGAGCTGTGGGGTGTGTGTGTGTTCGAAGGAGCTTGAGGTGAGTCAGGAGGGATTGTGGCCGCCCCAGGAGCTTGATGGCTGTGGGAGGTGCATGTTCCCGTATCTTTGCTGTGAGATTTGAGAATGACCGAGCATAGTACAATTCCATGTTGTTGAAACCCACCTCATTTCTTAGCATAAAGACTGTGTATACTGCCCTGGCTAGTGTGGTTCAGTGGATTGAGCATCAGCCTGCAGCCATAGGGTTGCCGGTTTGATTCCCAGTCAGAGCACATGCCTGAGTTGTGGGCCAGGTCCCCAGTAGGGGGTGCTCAAGAGGCAACCACACACTGATGTTTCTCTCCCTCTCTTTCTCCCTTACTTCCTCTCTGTCTAAAAATATAAAATCTTAAAAAAAAAAAAAAAAAGACTGCATATACTGCCTCGTAGGTGACATAAAGCCAGGCACCCTCTCCACCCTAACAACACAAATGGTGGGGAAAAGGTACAATAAAACAGACCATTTCTAAAAGCAATCATCTAAAACAGGGGTCATCATCTTTATTTCCCGTCTTTTTCTAATGATGTGTAACAGCTGATCACACACTAAGGCCGTTAACCACGTGTCGTGTTGTAAATGTCCAGCCAGTTATCATTTCACCGCTTCGTTTGTGGTGTCCTGTGCCATAGTAATTTAAAATAAATACACTTTGAAACAAAAGATTGCACGAAGTAAAATGTCGGTGTTTTCGACATACATTTACACGTATATTTAAATGTTTTCTCAGTGTACCTACAGTTGTGTCGTTGAAAAGTACAGATGGGATCATGTCATGCTCAGTGAATTACAAGTTATTTCCTTACTTTTTATGGGCATCTTTCCATCGCTAGACCTATTTCTCTTTAACAGCTACTTACTCTATTCCATTGAATGAATTACTCTAGTTTTCTAACCAGCACATGATTTTTAGAGATTGGGCTGTGTCTAGCTTTTCTCTGCTACAAAGAGTGTGTCAAAAGGAATATCTGTATACATGAGTCTTTGCTCAAGTGGTTGAGTATATGCAAAAGAAAATTCTCTAAGGTTGGAATTACTACATCAAAGCGTAGATGGCAATTTAAATTCTTACAGATTTCCCTTCAACAGAATTCATGCAGAGATTTTAAGAATTAAAGTAGCTAAATAAGTGATATTTCCCTGTATGAGCGAACTTCTTGCCTTTGATGTCATGCTAAGGAAGAAGCCTTCTTCCATCCCTGCGTTGTCTTACAGTGATGCTCAGTTGCTGATTTGGGGAAATTTTTGCTTATTTTATGTCTGTAACACAAAGGGAATTTATTTTGACTTATACTTTGAGACAGGGATTTATTTCTTTGTCCCCTAAATGGAGAGCCAGTTTTCCCGAGATCATTTATGGAGTAAGGCATGAATTTGTCGCTCGATCTGAGATGTCAGCTCTGTCATAACACAAAATTCCCACTTTGTGCCCCCGGACCGTCTCTCATCATTGGTTTTGTTCTGCACCGCGATGCCCGTAGTTTTATATTCTCCTCGGCAGTTTTAACAGTGGGGTTACTTATCTCTCAAAGAATGAGTTGGAAAGTGACTACCGTTTACTACGCGTGGGAAAATTAGAGAATACGTGGGCATTTTCTGCTTCTTGAAGATTTGATAAGACTATTTTGTGAAACATCTGGGCCTCTAGCATTAGTAAGCTTTTCGATTTATTAATAGGTTTTTGACATGGTTTTTGTTGATTTATAGTTTCCTATAAAAGTATTCATTCCATCTGTCTTTTTATATACATATATTGGCATAATGTTGTACAGAGCAGACGACTGCCTTTTAAGGCTCCACACTTGTGGTTATATCTCTTTTACTTCCTAACATTGTACAGTCATGGGCAAAAGTGGGTTTTTACTGGTGTGAGTATGTGAAACGTATTCTTGTGTTACTTATTGTTATATCATTTACTTGTATTATAACTGTAAACCTACTCTTACCCACTGCTGTATATTTGTGTTTTCTCTCATTTTTCTCTTAATTTGGATTTGCTGGGACTTTTTCCATTTCTTTAAGTTTCTAAGCAGTTAAGGGGTTTTTGTTGTTGTTGTTACCTTGCAATCGATTCCTGTGCTCCGTACACAGAGGATGTGATGGGAACATTCTGATCTTTGTGGCCTTGTCTTGCACGGTCAGTCTTTTTAAATCCTGGGCATTTGGAAGGGAGCACCTTCTGCCAGCGGGCTCGAAGCTGGGTTTACAGCGGCAGAGACTGGCTTCCAGTTTGTGGCTCATCAGCTCTACAGAGCATTTTTTCCTCTGTACGACTTAAACGTTCAAAGCAGTTTACTGTTCTGCCACTATGATTACTGTTTTGGCAAATTCTTTATTTCTAACAGGTTTTGTTTATTAATGTGTTTGGCCATCTTATTCTAGAAATGATCTCAAATTTCAGTCCAAATTAGCTTTTTTCCTTAATGAATACACAATTTCATGCTCCGCGGTTATTTAGAATTAATTATCTACTTTTACTGGTTTCTCTGCTCACTGCAGATAGTTTCGTCCAATACATATCCTCTCATTTTTTTTTGAGTTACTAGTTTCTGTATGTTTGGAATGCTCCCTCAAACTTTTTTTTTTAGGAATAATACATAAGTAGTATAATTTCTACACCTTTCTCTTTTGAAAATGCCTTTCTTTTCCCCTCACTCATGAGCAAAAGTCCAACTGGGTATTTAGAAATTCTAGGGTCAGAGCTCCCTTAGGATTTGAAAACAGTCCACATTTGATTTTTCAGGTAAGTGTGCAGCCAGCCTGACTCATTCTTTTGTAGGTGAGCTGTTTTTTCCCTCTGGAAGAGGTTTGCCTTTTGTGTTATTTTGCCTTTACCCTTGGAATTCAGAAATCTGAATGTGAGTCCTTCGGTCTGCGGATTCGAGTTTTTCTTTGGCTCGGGAAAATCTCCTGCCTCTGTGATCCGTCTCAGTGATGCTTCTCCTGACCCCACGGCACCGTCTCATTGTGGAGTTCCCACTTCACGGGTAACCTGTGCACTCCCTGCCTATCTGTGATTCCGTCTTTCTGTTTGGAAGGCACTGATCTTCTAAGGCACCACTTGGCCTTTCCTAAGTGTCTGTTCTGTTTATATGGTGCTGTTGAGTTTTGACTTCACTAATCACGTTTTTAGTTTCCAAGATCATTCTGGTTCTCCGGTTGGCGGTTTCTCATCGCAATCCACTCAAGCTCTGTCTTCTTGAGTCTCACCAGGAAATCAGGCGGACTTTACACAGAAATTCTCCCTCTTTCCTGAAGTAATGCACAGGGGTCATTTGCTTGCCTCATTCCCTTCTTTCATGCCATTATTCTCTACATACGTCTGAGGAATTTTAATTTTCCTTTCATGTATTTACATAAACTAAACAGAGCCCTGATACCTAAACATATTAGAGCCCTTTCAGAACATGCACCATGGGCCCCGCCTGACCAGTGAATTGGGGATGTTCCAGGTGAGCGGTGTTGGGTGCGGTGGTTAAGATCGTGGGCTGCGAAACCAGACAGAGATCTGCACTCAAGCCGTGGCTCTGCCTCTTGCTGTCTTACCAGTTTCCCTCAGCTCCGGAGATGGTCCTAGGAGAGTGCGCAGAGGTGGACAAACAGGAATGTAAGGAGGGACTCTGACAAACTAGGGTAGAACGGTGCACCTTCTGAGTCTTGGAAAGCTCTGCCCATGACCCTGACCCCTCCAGCCACATCTACCGCCCTTCCCAGGCCCACGTCCATGTCCCCAGTTCCCAGGTTGAGCGCCTGACGTCTTTGCATCTGCTTTGGTGACTGTCTTCAGATTAAAGCTACTTAAATTTTTGAACATAACTTGTATGCCTGACTCTCGGCCTCTCCCCTGCCTCTCCCCTGATTTCTTTGTGACGCAGAAGAGCACCTAAGTCATGCATCAAGTGATCATACGAAACAGCTTGAAACTGAGGACCCAACAGGTCTCCCAGGAGAAGCAGCCCAACTCTTTCTAATCCCCTCTTTAGTTTTCACAAGTGTGTTTGATACATGCTCCTCTGCCTGCCCCACAGCACAGTCAGGCATTGAGGAAAAGCAGACCCCAGTTCCTCCAAACTCAGAATGGGAAATGAACCTCGGATTAGAGTGGCCGCCCCTGGCTGCCTCTCTGTTGGCAGGGCGTGGGGCGCCCTCGGCAGCGGCAACTTCACTGTCCACCCTCCTATCCCCTTCCCCAATGTCTTAACGCTTTTGAAACACTCAAAAATAAAGTAGCTTCTCTGTCAGAAAACAGCTGGGACGCTCAAACCGAGACAGTGAGCCTGACTGCCATATGGGGGTTGGGGGTTCCACGCTGACACCATCTTCCCTGGGACCTTGGTTCATCAAATGGCTACATCCTGCTTTCCCATTAAGGAGAACATTTATTCAGTCATTGACAGGCGATTTTTCTGACTATGCTGTGTAAGCATGTTCACAAAGGCCTTTTCCACCTGGGGTTGTAGGTGCGGCGCAAGCTTGGGCGGGTGGGAACCAGAAAGTGTGCTCTGATGAGCCACGTGTTTGGTATAAGTGAGTACTCATTCATTCAGCCACACGATGCCTGATGGTAGATTTTTCCATCCCTGTGACCTTACTGGATGCCACGTAACATCCTTCAGTGGCATCCCTTGTACTTGAGGTCAAATCCATGTCTAAAACAGGCCTGCAAGGCCCTGCCTGCCTCCTGTCCCGTCCTGCTGCATGTACTCCTGCTGCTGCTCTCAGGGCCTCCTTTCCGTTTTTCAAACAGACCAACCCCTTTCCTAGCTCTGGACCTCTAAGAACTGTGCTTCGAATGTTCCCTCCCAGTGCCTTGCACGAGGCCCCACCTCCTCCCACCTCGGAGGCCACCTCCTCCGGGAGCCTTCCGGGACCACTGCAGCCAGCGCCGCCATCCCACCCCTCATCTCGCAGTGTCACTTCCTCACGTCGTCCTGTTGGGTTTTCTTTCATAGCACTTGTCTGCCTCCCCCGTAGAACGTAAGACCCATGGAGGCAGTGCGACCTTCTCTGAGTAGCTGTGTCCCAGCACCTAGAACAGTGAATGCTTCACACATAATAGGTGCTCATATACCTTTTGCCTGAATGATGATTGAATGAACCCTCAACGGTATTTATAAGATCTAAATATTATTTTAATCCATTGGTGGATGAGGCTCAGCAAGGCTGAATAAATTATTCCAACTTGTAAAGAGCTAGTGATTCAGTGTCAGGTCTTCTGAGTCTTCTGACTCCCAAAACCAGCCTGTGGACACAGATGGCAGTGCCTCAGGCAGAACGAGCTCCTGATCACTGAGTTCAGGGCTCTCTCCACACAGTTTTCCAGCTGTAGTAACTCATGAATACAAAGCAGTAGATATAAATTTAATAGTGTTTATGTTGTTATTATTTGAGCCCAGAATAGCAGCCACACTGTGGCCTGTGTATTCTTGGCCTCACATGAGTTTTTGTGAGGAAAAAGCAAATTACAATTCAAATAAGAATTATTTCTGAGATAAGGGCTGAAGAAAAGGTTTTGTCCTGTTGGGAAAAGGGCAGAAGTGTCCTTTCCCCAAGGTAGTAGAACTTTGAGCAGAAACCCTGCAGGAATTCTCCGCCCACCCCCCATGGCCCAGGACAACCTCCAGAACAGGGACCTGCACAGAGACGGGTCCATGCTCTTCTAGAAGAGCAGGACCAAGTCATCCAAACCTGGTCCTTTAGCATCGTCAAAAATGGGAGGCTACCGAGAGAAGGCTGGTCTCGTAGACCCCTCTTGTGGCCAGGAGGTGCCACTGCAGCCTCTTAAGTCACAAAAAGCAAAGGCTCCTACGGAAATGGGTTCCCTTCCATAAGCCGCCCCTCCACCTCCGGCACCTAGAGTGCCCTTGGGAGACACGCCCCACGGTGTTTATATCTCTACTCTCCAAGCTCAAAATGGGGGACAGTTTCATTTTGTCCTTAATGTGTTGTAAAGGCAAAGTTGTGACCCGAAGCTCCGTCCTGCTGGGGATTCAGGAGATGGAGGGTACTATGAGATTTGCTCCAGGGCCCCCGGGCAGAGCTGGGCCCCTCACTGCCAAGCCGCACCGTGTCTTACCACTGTTGGGGCGATCTTCCTGGAGGTGGTCCTGTGGGGCTGGCCTGGGGGTTCAGCTGGCAGTGTGTACTTGGCCATATGTAAATACCGTTGACTAGACTTTGGGACTCTGGCCAATGTATAAGAATATATAAAATCAGACATAGTCCTGTTTTACAGGACTGCAGTGAGGGTTAGAAGAGTTTTAGAATAGACACAAAGTGTCTATCGCAAACCTAGTACACAGTAGCTATTCAGTAGGAAAGCAGCTCCTTCTTAAATGTAAGTTCCCTAATAGCTCTTGTTTTCTTCCGTCCACATCAGCCTTCCCGGCCCTGCGCCCCCTTCCCCACACTCTCACACCGTACGTTTATTCATTCTCTTTCCTCCCAGCCTCTCTTTGAGTTTCTCTTTTCTCAGTCTCTCCCTTTCCTTCCGAAATGCTCTGATGGAGCTCGCTGGTCTGACTACCAAGGAGCAGGTTGCTTGTTCTGTGTACGTCTCAGGTGTTGCCCTTGTACTCTCTGACCCTGTGGGCGCGTGTGTGGGCCCCGTGCCTGGGTGTGCACTCGCTCACCGGGGTAAGTTCCCAGGAGTCCAAAGCACGGCCCAGCTGGGAGCATTCAGCCTTCGGCCCAGCCCCGTGCGCTGCGCAGGGGAAGGTGGAGCAGGGTGAGAGCGCGGCCAGGTGGCGGTGCGGAGCTGTGGTGCGCAGCAGTCTTGCCGCCCGAATTTGGTGAGCGCCCCCAGGGCACTGCTGACTGGCGCTTTCTCTCATGCTGCAGACGCACTCCGGATACTTCTCCAGCTTGTACCCCCCTCACCAGTTCAGCCCGTTCCCGCATCATCACTCCGTAAGTGCCCCTCCGGCCCCATCTGCCCCTTTTGCTCGCCTGTGAGCGCCTGTGGGCACCGGGCCCTGTGGTTCCAGGTCGTCAGGGGACGACACACCGCAGGCCATAAGCACAGCAGACGGTGCAGTGGCCCAGTGCACCAGAGGGTCCTTGAAGCGCTGGCCTGACCCGGTCCCGGTCCTGCCGATGCTTACAGTCCTGCCGGTGGCGGGAAACCGGTGCAAATGGATGGTCAGCAGGTTGGGTGGGGAGCTGCTGTTGGGCTAAAGGCCAGAGTTTTCAAAGGTCTTTGAAGCAGGTCCAGCAAAGGGACCTGCTTCTATTTCTGTGTACCCCTACAGCACAGGCCCCTGTGGCCTCGCCCATGTCCCTCCGGGCTATCGCCAGGCAGGTTTCGTGGCCACCTTGTTTTGAATCTGGCACCACTGTAGTGAAAATGTCACTCCTGGCTGTGAGACAGATGGGCAGCTTCCATTCCCTCTGACCAAGTGGCTTCAAGCCCTGCACTCAGGCCCTGTACGTTTAATTGATTTACTGCATGAAGACCAGTGAAACACTTTCATACGTGACAGAAAGCCTGTGAATAGACAACTTTCTGTGTCCAGCCAATGCAGAGAGGCCCAAGAGGAGTTTGTGTTTTGATTGTCGTGTCAGGGTTGCTTACGTTCTGGTCCCTTCTTTGAGCTTCCCACCTGCAGAGCCCTGGGCCGCAGGGAAACCCAGGCACCCTGGGTCATTTTCTGGGGCCTGGGGCCGCCCCTCCACATGGCTCAAAGTAGATGCGTGGTAACTTCCTGGAATGTCTTCTGTCTTGTCTCGCCCTTGCAGTACCCAGAGCAGGAGATTGTGAATCTCTTTATCCCGACCCAGGCTGTGGGGGCCATCATCGGGAAGAAGGGGGCGCACATTAAGCAGCTGGCCAGATTCGCCGGGGCCTCCATCAAGGTAAGGCTGCTCTCAACAGCCATCGGTAACGCCCCTTCCACTCTCTCCTCCCCACCCTTGTTCCTTCCATCAGCCTTCAGAGGACGGCAGCCCCTCTGCTCTCCGGGGGTAATCCCGCACCAGCTGAAAAATGGGCCTCCAGAACTATTCCCATCTGCTCTCATCTTTACCTCTTACTCCTTTTTTTGTTCAACTAACAACTGACAACTGAATTAGAGTATTGGTAACCAGCCCAGTTCTCCTTGGGTTGCCATTGTTCTCCCGCTGAAAGGGGAGGGATTTCCCCAAACTAAGGGAATGAGTTTAAGTGGATAATCTCGTACTGAGCAGGTTTTAGCACTTTGATGCTTTAACTGGTCTTGCTTTACAAACCCTTGAACTCTGAAAAAAAGCTGGAATGCAAACCTCTTTGAAAGCGACAGGTGATAAAACATAGGTAAACAAAGGGCTGGTGATGGGAAGCCCCAGGCCACAGAGAGACGGGGAAGGAAGGCCCCCTAGTTCAGGGAAATGGTTGTGAGCACAGGCATAGCTGCACTTACGCATCCACATCCTGCCTCCTCCAGCACACTGTGAAGAATGTCAGAGAAGCTGAAAGGGAAGGATTATTCGCCCCGGTCCTGCTCCAAGCCCAGCTATCAGCTCTGACTCATGGGCAGAATGCCGAGCACGTCCCAAGCCTCGTGAAACACTTTCGGAAACAGAGTTTCCGTTGTTACGTAAAACAGTTCGCTGCCACGGGACGGCCCGGAATTCTGCACCAGAAGTCTCATGACTTGGAGAGAAAGAGGGCTTACACTTTCTCTCCAAGAAGAGCTGGAATTTCTCCCACAGCAAGTGTGCTGGAGAAAAAACCAAAAACAAAACATTCTGAGTAATGCAAAACGAAGATCGCAGTGAGACCGTAAAAGAATTTTATTTAGGTAAATCATTAACCCTCCTTTATCCCAATGGCAAAGTGGATAGACTGGGTGAGAGCCCTCAGGTGTGTGTGGGGGGGCAGTGGGGGAGGCGGGGGGGCGGCTTTGCACCCAGCAGGCTTGTTGCAGGTGGGACCCTGGCCCAAGCCATGCGGGCCCCACCCCCATTGTGGGACTGGTGAGGAGTGGAAGACACTGGGCTGGCTGCACCCCAAGGGCCTTTCCCAGTGTTCAGTCCTGTGGTCTGGGATGCCACTCAGGAGATAGAATGAGAGGGTTTCAACTGAAAAGGGCTTGAGGGATCATCTCATTAAATCCTCCCTTTTTCCCCCTAAGGGAACATTAGAGAGGTACAGGGACTCAGCCAAGGCAGGCAGGTGGTGGGCCTGGCTCTCAGGTGTAAGTTCTGTAGGACGTTGAGCACCTGTGCTAACTGTGGCAAGAGCTGTCCATTTACCACTGTGTCCAAGGAACCAGGGTTCAGAGGGGTCAGTGGTGTAGCGAAGGCCGCAGAGCTAGTGAATGTGAATGCCAAGATTTGACCCGGTTGTCCGATTTCTGCTCCTGGGTTTTCCCACTGTGTCAGCCTGGGTGCTATACTACCAGGCTCATTCCCCACCGGTCCTCATGTCCCAGAAGGTTAAGGGGTGGCCTGTCACTTTGCTGGTGGCCTCTGTGATGGGCAGAGACAGCAGGGCTGGACCAGGAGGACAAACTGGGCTCTGTAGCCTGGTGGTGTGTGGGATGCCTGCTCCTTCCTCAGTCTCTGCCTCTGGCCAGAGCAGTAAGGAAGAGGAGAGAAGCCAAGTGTGTGTGAGAGAAGATTCCTGCTTTTTAAAATCAACCTGGTTCTTGCTAGATTCCCTTCATCCCGACAAGCTTCTGAAAGCATCTGTCTCTGCAGCAAGGGCTCACTCCAGGGAACCCCCAGCTGGCTGCCTCTCCAGGCATCCGAGGTCACAGCCATTTGATGCCAACAGGCAGGGAGACAGCTTTCTAACTAACTAACTAACTAACTAACTAACTAACTAACTAACTAACTAACGTGGGAAAGGGGTGGAGCCGAGGCTGCGAGGTGCATCCCAAGAGATGCTGTGGTTGCAGGCAAACAGCTCCCATAGCTCCCTGTGCTGCACGCACCTGGTCCGCAGGCCCCAGGACCCCACACACAGTTCTGTCAGCACTGCCGGCCGGGGTACCCGGTGCCTGGCCTTGCTGCAGCCCTGCAGTCCTGGCAGTCACCTCACCTCTCTGGGAGCCATCTGCTTCAGTTGTAAAACAGGTCTGCATTCCTGGTCCTTGGGCGCGGGTGGGGGGGTTGCCTGTGGAGTGCCGCAGTGAAACTAGAGTCTGGCGCCATGCTCAGGCCTCCGGTCTGGGCTGGTTGATGCTGGACGGTTGAGAGACGAGGGGGGTTTCTTGCAGCATCTGAGCCAGGCAGCTGTGAACTACTGGGAAGTAGACAGGACGGCAGAACCGATGGGTCGATGCGAATCGCGAATTAGCCTTTCAGCCTGGCTCCTAGCTGCGCCCACCCCAGCTCCCTGTCACAGGCAGCCGGCCTGCGAGCTGCCTCCCAATTAAGGCCTCTGTGGACTGAGCCTTCCTCCCCCCTGGGCCCTGGGTCAGTTGGCACAGTCTGTACCCCCCTTTTCCTATAGTTTTTGACTCCCTCGGTGGAAGGCAGCCAGTCCCTGCTGGTGCTCGGGGCAGGAACAGGCAGTAACTGCTGACCTGCTGCCAACGCTCCCTGGGCAGCCAAACTCCAAAAATGGGCCCTGGGCACCACAGTTGTGACTTCCCAAGCCCCAGAGTGGCGGCAGCAGGGGTCAGACGAAGCAAAGGCAGAGCCCCGCAGTCCCTTGCTAGTGCGTGTGCCAGCCACCTGGATGAGAGGGTCAGGTGGGGCTGGGGCACAGCCAGGCAGCATTGTCCTTTCCTGTGACCTGCAGATCGCCCCGGCCGAAGGCCCAGATGTCAGCGAAAGGATGGTCATCATCACAGGCCCCCCTGAAGCCCAGTTCAAGGTCAGTGCCAAAGGCTACCTGAGCCCTGAAGGTCGTAGCACAGGGCAGCCTGTTTGGGGGAACAGAAGGCTGTTCAGCAGGCAGCAGCCACCTCAGAGGCGTGTTCAAGGCTCTTCTTTGCACTTAGTAGTCTCAGACTCACCCTGGCCCGCCCCCTCCAGGCTGTTCCCTCCGCTCCGAGCTTTCCTCCCCTCTCCCCGGGGCAAGTGGGTTGTCTGTCAACACCCAGTTCAAACGACGCCGCCTCTGGCCTGCTGCTGACCCGTCGGCTGTGCTTGTGAGGAAGGCTGTTTCAGGCCCGTTTAGTCATCTGCCCTCCCAGCTGTGAGGGGAGGTGGGCACACTGGGGTTTTGTTTGGTTGGGTTTTTTGCCCTTTTCTCTCCCCAAGAAAAACTATGACTTGAGTTTTCTAACAGAAATATCTTTGAAAGGATAATCCTCATCATTAAAAATATTTAAAATTTGAGAAGCTAAAACACACGTGGAACCGTTCCAGAGCAATAACCCGCAGATAGACTTCCGCAGCCATGGAGGGGACCGGTGTGGCTGATAGGCACCCCGGCGTGGGTGAGCCGCAACAGGCCACACTGGGAGCAGGCAGGCAGAGAAGGCCGCGGACTGGATGGGCCCACGTGTGTGGAACGTCCAGGACAGGCGAGTCCAGGCCGACAAAAGAGCAGAGTAGTGCCTGCCAGGGGGTGGGGGCAGGGAGGGGCCGGACTCACTGGCCATAGTGGTTTTTATTGGGGGGGAGAGTGATGAGGGTTGTACAGTGAATACACCAAAAAACACTGAGCTGCACTCTCTAAAATGGTGCATTTTAGGTAATTTAAATGATAACTCATTTTTTAAGTTCTTTTTTGTTGTTGTTTTAAGAACAATAACCCCCTGGCTACACTGGCTCTGCAGTTAGACGATAAGCAGCAAGATCAGGCTCATCGAATCCCATCCCCGCCACCCTCACCGCAGCCCCTCAGTACCCAGGCCTGAGCATACCACGGTGGGAGGAAGTGAAGGAGTCCGGAGTGAGTTTGTGCACGCAAGCCTTTGTAGGTGCTAGGGCTGCAGAAATGACACACGGTCCACCCCTCACCACGCCCCACCCTGACATAGAGCTGCCTGGAGGTGTGAGTGTGCGCAGACCGTGAAGACCCGCGGCCACTCATGCACACCTTGCACGGCGCAGGCACGGGATGTGGCCAGAGCTGAAGTGAGGCGCACGCCCCCCCGCCCCCCCGCCCGAGTGGGGCTGGGGCTGGGGCATGCCGCCGCTGGGCTCACGATTCCAGCAGCAGCACTGCTGGCGCGGGCGGTAGGCAGCTGGGAGCTTCATCAGTCACGTCTTGCTCTCAGGCCCAGGGGCGGATCTTTGGGAAACTCAAAGAAGAAAACTTCTTTAACCCCAAAGAAGAGGTGAAGCTGGAAGCCCACATCAGAGTGCCCTCTTCCACAGCTGGCCGGGTGATTGGCAAGGGCGGCAAAACCGTAAGTGCGCTCTGAGCTGGCTTGTCTGCAGGCTGACACCCTGCCTGGCCAGACTACCCCAGGCCCCCATGGGGGGGCTCTTCAAGAACACAAATGTAATTAGCAGCACTCCAGAACCGAGGCCCAAATCCATGCTGCTGCCTGGAGCTCAGCGTGTGTGCCCTGAGCTTGGGGAGGCTGTTTCCTGCCACTTTATATCTACACAAAGCAGCCGGGAACTGACCTGGGGTGGAGTCCCACCTAGAGTGCACCCTCTTGGCAGACCATCGTCTTCAATGACTGGCAGGCTCCAGGCCCCGCCGCGTCTGGTGTCCCCCGCTCTGCTCCTCAGACGCTCCCGACGGCTGCCCCAGGCCCAGACACCCCCTCCTGCAGACTGGGCCTTCCCGATGTTTCCACACCAGGCCACCTGCTGCCAGGGAGCTACTTCAGCAGTAGGGTGGTGGGCGAGAAGGAGACAGTTTTTAACAAAATAATCAAGGTTTTTAACCTGAAGGGGGCCATACCACAGGGTAATTTGAAAAGCACCAGGGAATGAGCTCTTCGACCTTTTGAAGTAGCCGCCCGTCAGACCCAGGTGGGCAGGTGGCCGTGTTAGCAGGCAGGAATTCGGGAGCTCTCTGTGGTCCTGCGCGCACGTGTGTGTGTGTGTGTGTGTGTGTGTGTGCGTGTGCGTGTGCCCGCGCACACCCCATTTTCTTTTTACATAAAAACCCTTAGAGGAATCAAAGCCAACTTCTAGATATAACGAGACACCTTTATGCAAAAGAATCAGGTTGCTTGCGTGCACATTAGTCTCTCTTCCCAGGAATGTGGCCCACATCCACTGGCACACACCCCGAGCTCTAGGCAAGTTGAAAGCGGATAAGACCACAGGGAGTAGAATCCTGAGTCCTTCAGTGTCCAGAGACTGTCAGCTGTCCCCTCTGTGTGGGCGTGCTGAGCCCTGTGACAGGGCCAGGAGCCGGGGCGCAGGCCCTCGGGAGGTGTAGTCCCAGGGAGGCAGGGCCGGAGTGCCGGAGTGCCGGAGATGGGGTTTAGATGAGGCAAGATCGTGTGGGCAGGGGGCTTCACAAAGAGATGGACCCCGGCCCAGGAGTGGCAGAGAGAGGCACAGTAACCCCAGGGTGGGGACAGCGTAAGCAAGACTCAGGGACCAGAATGCAAACGAAGAGCAGGGACAAGAGCAGAGCATCCTTCGAAATGAAAAGTTCACTGTGTCGGCTCGGGTGGCACCGGAAGGGCACGTCCAGTCGAGGTTTTCATCCCTGGGTGACTGGGCAGCCCGGGGCACTGTGAGCATGTGTGGGAACCACAGTGATGGTATCTCCAGACTGAGGATTCAGCCCCAGAAGCAGCTCTGTGGACTCGGGCTGGACTCCGTCTCCCTGTCATGGGGCCTCCCATGACCCCATGTCACTAGCATGGCCGCATGTGACCAGGGCAGAGGTGTGCCAGCTCGAAGCACAGGTGAGCTGCTTCCAGCTTCCTTGGCCTCCACCACTCGAGTGCTCTCCCTTCACAGGTGAACGAACTGCAGAACTTAACCAGTGCAGAAGTCATCGTGCCTCGCGACCAAACACCAGATGAAAATGAGGAAGTGATCGTCAGAATCATCGGGCATTTCTTTGCTAGCCAGGTACCTGCGCCGTGAGGGTCTGGTGTTTCTCGCCAGTGTCTGTTCGTTTCTTCGTTGTCGGTGGCCTGTCGGCAGCCACAGCCCCTGCACACCCCCCAGCCCCCACCGGTGGAACCTCTCCCTGGCTCTTCGGGCACAGCCTGCAGGGCAGGGGAGGTTGTTCCATGCCTGCTCCGCACTGCTGGCCCCAGGCACGCTGGAGGAGCTGGAAGAAGAGTGTGGAACTTTGGAGTCAAGGCCAGCACTGGCTCCCTCACCTTCCTACTCAGGCTTCGGTCACAGCCTTGCTCTGCTGGGAGCCACACACCAGCAGGGGCTCACCCTTGGGGCTCCCCAGCCGGGCCAGCTGCTGCCGAAATCGCCCTTCAGTGTCAGTGCTGTCACAGGAGACCCTTGCGTCCCTTAGCTCTCGGCCACCTCCTCACTCTGACCCCACCCCCATCAGCCGCTTGTCTTCCTTCGGAAGGGCTGGTGGCTCTGCACCCTGTGGCCGAGTGCTTTTCGGCGTGTTTTAATGGTTGGGTTTTGGGATAGAACAGCACTCTTGGTCCTTGTCTCAAGCCGGCCAAGGCAGGCTAAGCTAAGCTTACACCGAAGGTCTACCTGAGCCGTTGGCTTGCCCTCCCAGGCCTGTGCCTCTGCCGGGAGGCCTGTCTCTGAGAAGCCGCACCCTGTGGTGTGTCTGAGCCACCAGGTTCCTGCAGTTCCATGTGCAGGGGTCTCCCTGCGGTGGGAACACTGGGCTGGGGTGAGGGGGTCAAGCTTGGGTTCACGTTTTCTGCAGTTGTTTGGGGTGGAGTGTGTGCTGCAGCTTATCACTGCTCCCCCGTCTCACTTACTGTTGTATTTCTGACATTCTCCCCGGTCACTTGAGACACGCAGATATGCAGCCTGGGGGCTAAAGTGCGCGTAGTTGGCAGGGGGCTTCCCGGTCACTGGTTCCTACTCCTGCTTCCTGGCCTGTCTGTCCAGCAATTCACTGGAAGCTTTTGGGGCTCCACCCCCGTATCCTTTCCCAGCAGCCTTGGGGTTGGGGAGAGGAGCTCTGCCAGGTTACTTCCAGGCAGAAAAGGCCCCCATGGAAGGGGCTCAGCGGGTGGGTGTGACGCTTTGCTGAGCCTACCACCTCCTTTCCCCAAGCCCCACCCCCTACCGCTTATCCTCAGAACCGGGTTCCTTTTTCTCCCCTGTCCCCTCCGCCCCTTTGCTGCAGACTGCACAGCGCAAGATCAGGGAAATCGTGCAACAGGTGAAGCAGCAGGAGCAGAAATATCCTCAGGGAGTCGCCTCACAGCGCAGCAAGTGAGGCTCCCACAGGCACCAGCACAACCACGGATGAATGTAGCCCTTCCAACACCTGACGGAACGAGACCAAACACAGCCAACCACATTGGGAGCAAACCAAAGACCATCCTGAGGAACGAGAAGTCTGCGGAGGCGCCGGGGACTCTGCAGAGGCCCCGAGACTCTGAGGGGCCGGGAGGGGGGCGGAGGGAGGCGGAGGTTGGCGGGGCCATCGGCCAGCCTCCTGCTGCCCCCGAGAGCCTCTGCAGGCTTCCCGGCGTCCACTTCACCATCCACTCGGATCTCTCCTTGACCCCCACCACGCTATCCCTTTTAGTTGAACTAACATAGGTGAATGTGTTCGAAGCAAAGCAAAATTCACACCCTTTTCTTTTTCTGTGGGAAATTGTCTCTGTACATGTGTGTACATATTAGAAGGCGAAAGATGTTAAGCTACGTGGCCTGTGGGTTACACAGGGTGCCTGCAGCGTTAATATATTTTAGAAATAATATATCAGATAACTCAACTAACTCCAATTTTTAATCAAGTATTAATTTCTTTTTCTTCGTAAAGAGAAAGCAGGCTTTTCTAGACTTTAAAGAATAAAGTCATTCTTTGGGAGGTCCAATGGGTTAGTAAGGAGCTCCGAGGCCCCCTCCACACGAAATTCACCCAGAGGGCAATCCCGGCAGAAAGGTACTCACCGCAGGCCTGGGTCACCTGTGTATGTCAACGGAAGGGATACCGTCTCTCTGAAGGGGAGACTCCGTCTCTCCTCATCCCTGTCTAGCTCACACGGCCATTTCTCTTTGCTTCACAAGTTTCAAACTGGTTTTTGCATACTGCTATATAATTCTCTGTCTCTCTCTGTTTCTCTCCCCGTGTCCTTTCTCCCCAACCCTCCCGCTTCTCCACGCCCGTTCTTTTTAATTCCCACATCCCTCTGTCTCAGTTCCACTCCGTCTGCACCCCCTACCCCCAGGCAAAGCAGTGCTCTGAGTATCACATCGCACAAAAGGAACAAAAGCGAAACACACAGACCAGCCTCAACTCACACTTGGTTACTCAAAAGAACAAGAGTTAATGGTACTTGTCCTAGCATTTTGGAAGAGGAAAACAGGAACCCGTCAAACCAACCAAACAAAAATTCTGCAAAGAAAGAATATATTTTGTCTTTTTACATTTTGGTGTATAAGCCATCAATTTTCAGCAAAATGATTTTCTTTCTTTTAAAAAAAAATGTGGAAGAAAATAGCAATTTACATGAGGTCGTTGGCCCAGGGCGTTAAATTTACAGATTTTTTTAACGAGAAAAACACACACAAAAAAAAACTACCTCAGGTGTTTTTTACCTCAGCACCTTGCTCTTGTGTTTCCCTTAGAGATTTTGTAAAACTAATAGTTGGAGCATTTTTTTATTTTTTTAATAAAAACGAGTTGGAGAAGATAGTAAGACACCAGCCGCCAGCCCGGAGGAGGTGACGGCCCAAGTGTGCGACAGCCGTTCCGCTCGATCGTCTTCCGCCAGCCAAGAGCCCACGTGGCCTTCTTTCGGACAAACATTGAAAATGTGTATTAAAAACCAAAAAAGTGACAAAGAAAAACAGAGAGAGAAAATGTCGGAGATGTCCTGGATTTCCATAGGGTCCGCGCCATTGGGCTTTCTGTGCTAAAGGATGAACAAGGACTGGTTTATGTGAACAAGCCGTTTGACCACCAGACTGCAATGCCCATTTCCTCTACTGCAAACAGTGTTCTGTGACAAAAACAAAAACAAACAAAAAAAAAGAAATATATCCAGCTAACAAGATCCTGGTGTCACGGTGTCTTATTTCTAACACGCCTTGCCCGCCCCCTGTCGAAGCACCGGCTGAACTCCACTCTGAGGGACTTGGGGGCAGGGAGGCACGCAGGGCTGGGAAGCTCCTCTGAGGAGGCGGGTGTCAAAGGTCTTTGGGAGAAGCTCAGCACAGTCCCCAGACTGGTGGCAGCATTGTCCACCTGGGAACTTTTTAGAAATGCAGATCCCTGGGGGTCCACCCTGAGTCAGATTCTGGGGGTGGGCCCCAGCGGTTTGTTTCAGCCAGCCCTCCAGGCGACTTCCGGTCACGCTCAAGTGTGAGAACCACAAAACCAGAGGCATGGATTGGCTGCGGATCAAGCAAGGTAAGACCAGCCCCTGTTGTAAATGAACTTGAAGCCTGGCCAGGGAAAGAGTTTATCTTTATGAAAGAAAGAGGGAGGACAGCATGCCCGACAGCTCAGGGGAAGGGGTACTTGGGCCTCCCAGACGCCCAGTTGAAAGCTTCCCAGGAGATCTGAACAGGCTGGGTGAGAACGGTGCTGCCCCTCCAGCAGGCCCGTGTGCACAGACGGTGGGGTCTAGCGGAGACGGCCGCCAGAAGTCCACATGGTCTCAGCAGTGAAGGGCTGGTGCTTGGCACCAGGCGGTCAGGCCGTTGGGGGCAACCATCGTAGCCCAGCAGGGCCAGATGGAGGGGAATTGATGGGTTCCACAGCAGCCATCTTCCCCTTCTGACAAACTCTGAGGGCTCCCAATCACTTAAAACGTGTTCCTTACTTATATCCCATCTCTACCCCTGATTTTCCCGTCATTTTCCATTTCCGTGCTGCCGCTTTTACTTTCAAGTTTGCTGGTGTGTTGGTGCCAGCCGTTCGCCTCCCTGCTGTGGTTGGCATGAATGTGGGCAGGGACATCTTGTCCCTTCATGTGACCGTTAGAAAGCCAGGTACCTACAGCTCCATCTTCTCCTCTGTTAGAGGGCTTGGGCCCACAGCCCTCATGAGAAACGCACCACAGGCTGACCACCTGAGAGAAGCCACAGGGTTCCTGACCACTGGGGTGGTTACTGAAAACTGTTCCCTGGATTGAGGTATGCATATCAGGTAAACAGCAGAAAAACAGCACATCTTTCAAGGAAGGGCTTTAAACAGAGGCTGAAGGGCTTAGTCGTGAGTCTGTCAAGATGAGGAATCAAGGCGGGAAAGACGATGGAAACTTCCAAAAATGCACCCTCTTGGCTCTACTGTTCAGGTTTCCTTCCTTGGCCTTTATTCCAGGTGGCAAAATCGGAGGTTTAAACTCTAGCACCTAAACTGCCCATTTCCAAAATCCTTGTCGCTGAACATACGAGAGAAAGGTAAGGAGGTGCTAAGGTGACCTCTGACCCACCGTGGTACCAGGCATCCAGTTGTCCTGAGGTTGCAGCAGGAGAGGGGAGCTGCACAGAGAGGTGGAAGACAGGAATAAGACCATCTGGCCTTGTTCCTAAACAAAGAAAAGCACCCACTTTCTTTCTTTAAAAAAAAAAAGGACTTTATTTTTAGAGCGAGGAGAAGAGGGAGAGAATCATCAGTCGGGACTGGGGACCAAACCTGCCACCCAGGCATGTGCCCTGACTGGGAATCAACCCAGTGTCCCTTTGCTGAGCCTCACCTGTTAGGGCTCACAGCCAGTTAGTTCTCTGAAGCCCCAAAGGCTGGATTATTTAGCCTCTGGGTACGGGCCCACTTGAGCTTCCAGAGGGCAGCGTGAGCACTGAGTATGATTTTACACAAAATACAAGGATAGTTGTCAAATGGAGACTTGGGTCAATATCAAAGCTTTTGAAATCCATTAGCCTACATGACTCAGAAAGCCACACCCCCCTGCTCCCTTGGATTGAACCCCTTAAACACCTGTGACCCATAGTGGTTTTCAGTGTGCTAACATCTCACTAGTTGTGCTCAGTAGGCCTGAACATCCCCCTGTCCTGGTGCATTTCTCCCAACTCTGCCTCAAGGCATCCCCAACATGAAACTGGGAAGGAAGGATGAGTGAGGCTGGCTGCGGGTTAGAAGGAGGTTTCAGCACAGAGGGGGAACTTACAGACATGGTAAAAAGGAGACTCAGTAGACGTCTGGAGGGGTTTCAACAAAGAACCAGAGGGAACGAAAAGACTAGGCCCAGATGGGAAGAAGGCATCCTGACAAGGCAGGGAGAGAGGGCGGGGGAACACACTGCACTTCTACGGGGAGTGGGAAGACCAATGACCTGGCTTCAAGGTGGGATCGGAATGAATCGGTGAGTAGACCGAGATGGGAAAAAGATTTGAGCCTAGTCATTCCTGCATCCCTGGGGGAGGAAGTAGGCAACAGAGGCATCCCCATGTTAACAATTATGAAGGAAGTCCACAAATGTAGGTGTTGGAGACTAGCTTAAATTGTACTTGCACGCACATCTCTCACTGTCTTCGAGCCTGATGCAGATTTCTTAGGCCTGCCACCGCTGATGTCTGATGACACAGCTAGCAAATTCCCAGTGTTTACTGTCAAGTGTTGCTGCTGCCTTTTCTTTCCTCTCAACATTCCTTTTAAGGTGCCCATGAGTTAAAAGTTCGGACTTACCACACACAGGTTAGTTTTCTATCCTGGCTCACACCAGCCACCTGCAGTCACTGCCTTTCCAGAAGCCGAGTGTTCTTCATGGCTCTCTCAGAAACAGCTGGTATGAGGAGAAAGACTCGGAGCAAAATTGCATTCCAGCTTACCCTCTATGCTTCCTACATTCTCTTGTAAAAGCAGTGACTCGGTCGTGTATCCGAAGTACTTGGTTCGTTCCCAGGAGTGAATTTTAGGGCCCTGCCTCATCTCAGATGTGGCCAACAAACATTCCCATTTGCCTCCAGTCACCTCCAGCGATCAGGACAACCAAAGGAAATTTGTGCATTTAATTTGGATCTTGTATTAGTTTCCTGAGATTGCTGTAATTACCACAAATCTGATCGATTAAAACAACAGAAACTTTTACTGTTCTGGAGCCAGAAGTCGAATCAAGGCGTCAGCAGGGACATCGTGTTCCCTCTGGAGGCTCTTCCCACCTTGGTGGCTCCAGGCTTTCTAGGCTGTGGGAGCATCGCTCCAGTCTCTCCTACCATCGTCTCTTGTACCTAAAAAACAAAACCACCCCCACAAGAACAAACAAAAAACCCTCCACAAACACAAGTTTATAAAGTAACAGAGCCTGTTCTAAAAACCATTAAAATACCATTTTCCCACAAAAATGGGTATAAAATACAAACGAAGCCTAAGCCCATTTCATTACCTCCTCCTCTGTCTCAAAACTCCCTCTGCCTTTCTCTTACAAAGCATGTGACGGCACTCATGGCCCACCCAAACGACGCAAGGTGAGTTCATCAGGATCTTTAACTGAGCCCTGGCTGGGGCGGCTCAGTGGATTGAGTGCAGGCCTTCGAACCAAAGGGTTGTTGGTTTGAGTCCCAGTCAGGGCACATGCCTGGGTTGTGGGCCAGGTCCCCAGTTGGGGGTACACAGGCAACCACACATTGATGTTTCTTTCCATCCCTTACCCTCTCAGTAAAAATAAATTTAAAATCTTTAAAAAAACTATTTTAAAAAAAAAAGATCTTTAACTTAATCACAGTGATTGCCCTAGAAATTAGCATTTATTCTTTGCCCTAGAAAATCATATGACAAATTCCAGTGATTGATACAGATTTACTTCTTGGAGGCCACCATTCAGCCCACTGTACATCCAGATTATAAGACTATAAACAAATTTAGTTTTGAAACAGGGAAATTTGAATATGAACTGAGTATTAGATGATATTATCAAATTCTTACTAATTTTGTTAGATGGTGAAAATAACAGAGGCTTTTTTGAAAGAAAGATTTTTAGAGAGAGGGAAAGGGAGGACGAAAGAGGAGAGAAACATCAATGTGTGGTTGCTCTCACATGCCCCCTACTGGAACCTACCCCACAACCCAGGCATGTGCCCTGACTGGGAATTGAACCAGTGACCCTTCGGTTCTCAGGCTAGCAACTCAGTCCGCTGAGCCTCTCAGCCATGACTGACAGAGGTTCTTAAAAAGTTATTAGTGAAACATTCTTAAGTATTCAGATACAATGACATGTCAGGGTTTTGTTTTACATACTCCAGACCTGGACTTTTGATCAAAATGGTGGCATAGGTAAACATACCTTGCCTCTTCACACAACCACATCAAAATTACAACTAAATATAGACCCATCACTCAGAACTGGCAGAAATCAAGCTGAGTGGAAGTTCCAACAACTACAAAATTAAAGAAAGCACATCCATCCAGACTGGTAGCGGGGCAGAGACAGAACAGACTGGCCCCAGACCCGCGTGTGGTGGATAAAAGTTTGGGAGGGATATCTTGGGAGCGAGGAGTCTCAGCTCCACACCAGGACCCCCAGCCCAGGGTTCCAGTGTCAGGAAGATCAGTCCCCTTAACTTCGGGCTGCAAAAGCCAGCAAGGACTGAGTCAGTGGAAGAAACTCCTGGAGTCCCAAGGGGTTTCCCTTAACCCACACATGGACTTACTCAGACTCATTCCCTCTGATATCCAGCATCAGAGTAGCTGCTTCAAAGGTGCCAGTGTCATACAAGGAGAAACTGAAATGTCCGGCATCAAGGTGAGAGCTGGGGGAGAGCTTTCTCCCAGACAAAAGGCAGGCAGAGGTCAATGTCCCTTTCCTTAACCCTCCTCCCACAGAACCGCAGGCAGGCGCCATATCTGAGACTCCATCAACCTACCTAACACTGCCCCACCCTGGAGATCCCCAGAGACTCCTCCAAGCCCCACCCAATAGGAGTTCACTCAAGCTGTTTTCCCACATGAATGGATGGTCTCCACTCATGCTTTACAACCTCTTAAATCCTCTCAAACAAGCAACAGCTGGCCTCAGTAAGCCCCAGCCCCCCACCCCCTGTACCTCTTGCTCATTGATCCGGGCCTGGCATTAGCAGCAGCCAGCCTAGCGTCACAGCTTGGCTTCACCTGGGAATCCCCAAGCCCAGCACAAGTAGCAGCCATCTCAGATTGCTTTAGAGCCAAAGCAGGGTGGTTCCAGGCAAAACACAGGTGAGGGCTCACCGGGGCCTGCACCACCCAGGGAATCCCAGAGCCTGCACACCCAGTGGACAGCTACAAACACATTGAAGCACCTTCCTCCTGCTCCTGCACAGCTGATCCTCCACAGAGGGCAGAGATTGGTGGTCACTGGCCACAGCCAGTCTTTCCAGCTGACTGGCTTGGGTAAATCCCTCTCATTGACCTGCTAACAGTGATGAAGACTGGACTACAAGAAGAGGGTGTACTCATCCCACACAAAGACTGCAGCTTGAGTACCCAGCTTGGGTGCTAGGGGAGGCTGTGTCACTGCACCCTACAGGACACCTACTACATTAGACCACACTAACAAGACACGGAGTCAAAGCAGCTCTACTTCATACATAGAAACAAATACAGGGAGGCTGCCAAAATGAGGAGACAGAGAAACATGGCCCAGCACTGGCTGGTGTGGCTTAGTGAATTGAGCACCAGCCTGTGAACCAAAGGGTCACAGGTTTGATTCTGAGTCAGGGTGCATGCTGGGTTGCAGGCCAGGTGCCCAGCTGGAGACACATGAAAGGGGGCTACACATTGATGATTCTATCCCTATCTCCAGCAGTTCCCCTCTCTCTAAAAATAAAGTCTTTAAAAATTATATGCATATAAAAAAAAGAAACATGGCTCAAATGAAAGTACAGGCCAAAACTCCAGAAAAGAGCTAAATGAAATGGAGATAAGCAATCTATCAGATGCAGAGTTCAAAACACTGGTTATAAGGGTGCTCAAAAAACTTAGTGAGGACCTCAGCAGCATAAAAAAGATTCAGTCAGAAAGAAAGGATATACTGATTGCAATAAAGAACAAGTTATAGGGAAACAACAGTAGAGTGGATGAAGCCAAGAATCAAATCAGTGATGTGGAAGATAAGGAAGCAAAAAACAACTAATCAGGACAAGAGAAGAAAAAAAGAAACCAAAAAACAAGGATAGCATAAGCAACCTGTGTGACAACTTCAAGCATTTCAACATTCACATCAAAGGGATGCCAGAAAAGAAAGAGCAAGAAATTAGAAATCCCTTTGAAACAATAATGAAAGAAAACTTCTATAATTTGTTGAAGGAAATAAACATACAAGTCCAGGAAACAGAGTGTCCCAAAGAGGCCCACTCCAAGACTCATCATAATAAAATGCCAAAGTTTAGAGAATCTTAAAAGCAGCAAAAGAAAAGCATTAGTGACCTACAGGGGAGTTTCCATAAGACTCAG